GGGAACTCCTACAGCTGATAAACTCCTTCAGTAAGGTGGCAGGATACAAGATTAACTCAAAAAAATCAGTAGCCCTCCTATATACAAATGAAAAAGGGGCTGAGAAAGAAATCAGAGAAACAACACCCTTTATAATAGCCAAAAATAATATAAAATACCTTGGGGTAACTCTAAGCAAGTGCAAGACCTGTACGATAAGACCTTTAAGTCTCTGAAGAAAGAAATCGAAGAAGATATCAGAAAATGGAAAGATCTCCCATGCTCATGGATAGGTAGAATCCACATAGTAAAAATGGCAATCTTACCAAAAGCAATATACAGATTCAATGCAATCCCCATCAAAATACCAACACAATTCTTCACAGACTTGGAAAGAACAATACTTAACTTTATATGGAAAAACAAAAAACCTAGGATAGCTAAAAGAATCCTGTATAATAAAGCAACCTCTGGAGGCATCATGATCCCTGACTCAAGCTCCACTATAGAGCTATATTAATAAAAACAGCTTGGTACTGGCATAAAAACTGACATGTGGACCAATGGAATCGAATTGAAGACCCTGACATTAATCCACACACCTATGAACATATGATATTTGACAAAGAAGCCAAAACTGTACCATGGAAAAAAGAAAGCATCTTCAACAAACGGTGCTGGCATAACTGGATGTCAACATGCAGAAGATTGCAAATAGATCCATATCTGTTGCCATGCGCAAAACTCAAGTCCAAGTGGATCAAAGACCTGAACATAAATCCATTTACACTGAACTTGATTGAAGAGAAAGTAGGAAGTAGTCTTGAACGCATTGGCACAGGAGACCACTTCCTAAGTATATTACCAGTAGCACAGACACTGGGAGCAACAATTAATAAATGAGACCTCCTGAAACTGAGAAGCTTTTGTAGAGCAAAGGACACGGTCAATAAGACCAATCGACAGCCTATAGAATGGGAAAAGATCTTCACCAACCCCACATCTGACAGAGGGCTGATCTCCAAAATATATAAAAAACTCAAAAAGCTAGACATCAAAATACTGAACAATCCAATTAAAAAATGGGCTACAGAGTTTAACAGAGAATTCTCAACAGAAGAATCTCAAATGGCTGAAAGGCATTTAAGGAATTGCTCAACATCCTTAGTCATCAGGGAAATGCAAATCAAAACAACTCTGAGATACCATCTTACACCTGTCAGAATGGCTAAGACCAAAAACACTGAAGACAGCTTATGTTGGAGAGGACGTGGAGCAAGAGGAACTCTCCTCCACTGTAGGTGGGAATGCAAGCTTGTACAACCACTCTGGAAATCAGTATGGCAGTTTCTCAGAAAATTGGGAGTAAGTCTTCCTCAAGACCCAGTTATACCACTCTTGGGCATATACCCAAGGAATGCTCAATCTTACCACAAGGACACATGCTCAACTATGTTCATAGCAGCATTATTTGTAATAGCTAGAACCTGGAAATAACCTAGATGCCCCTCAACTGAAGAATGGATAAAGAAAATATGGTACATATACACAATGGAGTACTACTCAGCAGTAAAAAAACAATGATATCATGAAATTTGCAGGCAAATGGATGGAACTAGAAAATATCATCTTGAGTGAGGTAACCCAGACTCAGAAGGACAAACATAGTATGTACTCACTCATAAGTGTATACTAAATGGGAGGGAAGGGATGGCCAGACTGCAACCCACAACTCCAGAGAGGCTAGCTAACAGGGAAAGACCCTAGGAGGGACACATATATGACCCTGTAAAGGAGAAGTGGATGAAATCTACATGAGTGGACTGGGTGAGGGGGTGTGGCAGAGGGAGAGGAGTGGGGGATGAGAACATAGGGAAATAGCAGGATCGACCTCGAACAGGGACAAAGTGGGAGGGCAGGGAGGGGGATAACATGATAGATGAGGACATCATGGGAATAGGAAGAGGCAGGGTGCTGGGGAGGCTCTCAGGAATCCACAAGGTTGACCCCACCTTGGTCTGCTGGCAGTGGTCCAGAGGGTGCCTGGACCGGTCTACTCTAGTGACCGGTCTAGCAAATAACTTAACTGTGATCATAGAGCATTTTTCCAGTGACAGATGGAGGCAGATACAGAGATCCATGGCCAGGCACTAGGCTGAGTTCCGGGAATCCAATTGATGAGAGAGAGGAGAGATACCGCAGGCGAGGGACGTGGAGATCATGATGGGAGGACGTGCAGAGATGATGGACCGCACTAGTGGAAACCCGTGAACTGTGGACTGGTGGCTGTGGAGCCCCCATGGGACTGGACTAGACCCTCTGGATACGGAAGATGGTTGTTTGGCTCGAACTGATTGGGGGGCACCCAGGCAGGGGGATCGGGATCCGTCCCTGATGCATGGACAGGCTTCTGGAACCTGGTGCCTGGGGTGTGACACCTTGCACAGCCTTGGTGCAGTAGGAAGGGGCTTGGACCTGCCTAGGCTCAGTGAGCTGGGCTCTGCTGACTCCCCATGGGAGACCTCGATTTGGGGGATGTGGGGATGTGGGGTGGCTTGGGAAAGAGGGCTGGGGGGAGGGAGGAGGGAGGAGGGAGGATCTGTGGATAGTATGTGGAATGAGTAGAAATTTTCTTAATAGAGAAAAAAACAAAAACAAAACAAAACAAATATATAAACATGTGCAATATTAATTTTCAAATAAGTAAATAAATAAATATCCTAAAGGAATATTAAAAAATAATGTTTTATATATATATATATATATATATATATATATATATATACACACACATATATATATACACACAAACTGGCTTCAAAATTAAAAAGTGGTGTACTTTAAAAGACACTAACAAAACAGGACAGGACCAGAAAAATGACTCAGAAGTAAAAACATATGTCCCAAATCTTGATGACCTGAGTTCAATCCTTAGAACTCACATGATAGAAATAATTGTTTCCTGTAAATTGTCCTCTGACCTCCATGCACATGCCCTGGCACATGTGCCTCCCTGCTCTGACAAAACATACAGTGAATAAATGAATATGAAAAGTAAAAGGCAATCTAAAGACTAGGAGAAAACTTTTGGCAATCATATAGTTAAAGGACATATATCTAGAATATAGAAAGAACTTCTACAACTCAATAATAAAAAAGCAAATATTCAGCCAGGCAGTGGTGGTGCATGCCTTTAATCCCAGCACTCGGGAGGCAGAGGCAGGTGGATCTCTGTGAGTTTGAGGCCAGCCTGGACTACAAAGTGAGTTCCAGGAAAGGCGCAAAACTACACAGAAAAACCCTGTCTCGAAAAAACAAAACCAAAAAACAAAAAAAGCAAATATTCCACTTTAAAATGAGCAAAAGAAAGCAAACAAATAAACAAGAAATGGAAAAAAAATGAGCAAAGGTACCAGTGTGGTGACCCATAGCTGTAATCCCAGACTCAGGAGGCTAAAGCAGGAGAGTCATGGCAACATGAGACGTCGGCCTGAGCTACCTCGTGAGTTCTAACCAAACTAGAGCAGTATAGTGAGACTCTGTCTCAAGACAAACAATGGAAAAAGGCCTGGGGGTGTAGCTCAGTTGGTACAGTACTTGCCTAGCATGCATGAAGCCCTGGGTTTGATTCCCTTGACCGTATAATCCAAACATGGTGGCACATGCATGTAATCCCAGCACTTGGGAGGTAGAGGCAGGAAGATCAGAAGTTCAAGATCACCTTCAGCTACATGACAGGTCTGAGGTTAGCCAGAGATACCTAAGATTCACTTCTCACACTCACACAGAAAAAAGAACAAAAGGTCTGAATATTTTTTACCAAAAAATATAGAGGTAGCCAGTAAGTGTGAAAAATGGCAAACATCCAGGTCTCATGGCAATGCAAATCAGTATCACAATTCAATATTATCTCATACCCTTTAGTATAGCCAAAAATAAAAATACAGATAATACACATCGGGAAATAGGTGAAGAAGATGGAATCCTCATATTCTCTTTTGCTTTTCTCCCTCCTTCCTTCCTTCCTTCCTTCCTTCCTTCCTTCCTTCCTTCCTTCCTTCCTTCCTTCCTTTCTTCCTTCTTTCCTTCCGTCAACAGCATCTGTGTCCCAGGCTAGTCTCAAATTTATAATTTTCCTAACCCCTAACCTTGACCTCCCATGTGCACTAAACCAAGCCTGTTTGGGTGTTTGCTTTTGTTTGGAGTTTTGGTTTTGAGTAAAACCAGCTTGGAACTCTTGATCTTCCTGCCTCAGCCATGAACATCCTTGTTTATGCTAAGCTGTTTACTAACAGCCTCCCAAATACACACTGAACTCTAAGAGCAACATCCAGATGAGTCTTGATCATTACATGTGTATTTGAGATATCTAGTCAATGACTATTTCTCTAACTGTGCTGTTTTCACTGTTTGAGTTTTCAATGTTCTATCTTAAGAGACTTGTGAATCCAAATTCTTTCTAATTTCTGTAATTCTAACACTGTATCATCAATGCATTTGATATACATACTTTATGAATGGCCCCCAAGTCACTAATAAGGTTAAAAATGGTAATCTTGCCAATGACCTAAGAAGACACACACACCTCTGCCACGCCCACATATCAGTACATTGAACCAGCAGGCTTCATTGAAGAGTCAAAAGCTAACATTGCCTAGCTTTCACTTTCAATCTTAGGAGGGATATCCAGAAACTTCTACCTCTATGAAGCCTTTCCTTACGTGGCACCACCTCACCTCAAGCAGAACTGAATTATTCATCTATCTTTCTTACAACTGTACCTTCCCTCACTTGACTGCACCATATCATAGGAATTTGTTAACAATTCTGTCTCTGTAACAAGGCCAAGCTCTCTTAGAGAATAGAGATTCTTTAAGTTCCTTAAAGCCTAGAACAATCATTGAAATTCTGTTAGCACTAAAAAATCCAAACATGCCTTGCAATTCAGATGTAGCAGTTCCTATTTTCACAGTCAGTGTTACCACATGAAATCTAAAGATGCTTTAAACATACTTACTTACCTGTAGCAAAAAGGAAGCTGCATAGCTCAACAGGGCGGGATGGTGGACTAAATTTAGGCTGTTTTTATACTCAGTTTCTCCAGTATTTTCTAAGATTTGGGGATCAATGTACACTCCTTTTTCAAATGGTTTGGACATCCATAAGCAATGAACCATAACTGTCAAATAGTAATTAAATTCTTGACAGATCTTGCTGCTGAGATTGAACTCTGATTTTGCCTAATGGGAAAGAAATAAAATAGTCATTAACATCTATTATTCCTTTCCTTTTTATTCTTAACAGGTCCCATATATCTATACTCGGTTATTTATAAAAATGGTGATTTAACACAGACTTAGCCTTCATACCTTCTTTAAAAAGTTGTTTTTCTTTGCAGCTGTCAAATTATTGCGATACCTAATAATAAAAGCAAATATAACAAAGTATTTAAAATGTCACTGGATATAATGCTTCTGAATGTAAAATAAAAATTTTAAAATACACGTTTTAGGGCTAGAGAGATGGTTCTACTGGTAAAATACTTGGCACAGAAGCACAAGTCCCTGACATTGGATCTAACACATGTAAAAACCAGGTTTGGTTGCACGTGTCCCTGACCCTAGGCTATGGGGCTTGGGAAGAATAAACAGATGCAGGCAGGTCTCTAGAGCTCTCCAGCTAGCCACTGTAGGCAGTAAGTGAGCGCTTGGTTCGGTCAGAAAACCTGTCTCAAAAAATAAAGAGCAAAGCAATAGTGGAAGACACCTGACATTGACCTCTGACCTCCACATCAATATTCATGAAAGTATACACACACACAATCATGCATACATACACAAGTACAATTTAAAGTAAATAAATGCAAATGTGTGCAAATACAAATATCTAGTTATCTAGTTAAGGATTTTATACTTTTATGGTACATTTTCCACAAAGAGTTTTTAAAGTTAGGGTATACAGGTAGAGTTCAGTATTAGACTACTTGTGTAGCATGCATGAGGCCTTGAATTCAATACTGAGTGCTACAAAAAAATAAACAGATAAAAATAAAATCAATAGTTGGAGGATGACAAGATAGCGCAGTGGGCAAAGTGCTTGCCACGAAGTCTGACCACCTGAGTTTGATCCCCAGACCCACATACGAGTATAAGGAAAGAACTGACTATATAAAGTAGTTCTCTGACCTCCACATACACACTGTGTACATGCACATACACACACACACACACACACACACACACACACACACACAATATTGATCAATTTTTAAAGACTGAATCAGACATTTCAAATGTGCTCTTACTGTACACATAACCCAACAGAAAGAAAACAATGAAAGCCATTCCTTTAGTGTTACATTATTAAAGAAAGCAGTCAATCACTGATACAGAACACATTTTCTTTATGTAAAACAAGGGACAGTAGGCCAGTGAGACAACTAACTGAGCAGGCAAAGACTCTTGACATCAAGCCTGATGACCTGACCTTGATGCCTGGATCCCACATGGTGGGAGGAGAGAACTGACTTGGGAGTTGTCCTGTGACTCCACATGTATTGTTTTACACACACACACACACACACACACACACACACACACACACGCACACACACGCACACACACCACAACCACTAACAACAACAACAAAAAATAAATGTAAAAATGCTAAAAGGTACAAAAGAACAATGAAATCCAGAAATGTAATTTGTTTCTTATATGAGAACTATCATCTAACTCATTTTTACATATTTTTACATTGACAAAGCTCTACAAATCATGCTGAAAAGGTCTATACTTATGAATTAAAAATAATCTCAGTCCACAAGTAAAAGAACAGAGCTAGAAATAACGCTTAGAGGGTCACATAACTGGCAATAAATAGTTCCTATTGCCTCCCAGAAAATGTCTCTTTTACCAGAGAAACTACATACACTTCAACAGATATCAACAAATGATTAATTTTTCTTTAACACACAGAAATTTTAATTAACAAAGCTGAGTGCAACAGTGCCATTACGTAACAAACCAATCCGCAGCAAAGACTTTTCATTCCATATGCCCTACAGGGGGGATTTAAAAATAGCACAGCTCCAGTTTTAGTGTTCTAAGGTACCTCCATAATGCAGCCTGAAATCACTTTGAAAGCAAAATATGCCAGACTCAGATAAATCCCATGTTTTCTCTCATTTGTGGATCCAATATTTTATATAGACAGCAAACATCATTTATATATACACACGATATGAAAGCAGAAGCAAGACTGGAGAAAGGAAGTGGACTAGCAGGACAGGGAAAGGAGCAAATAAAGCCAAAGGACATGATACACTGCAATGAACATGTCTTTAAAAACCCAGCACTATGTACAATGAGGATACTATAATAAAATTTTGATATCATAACCTGGGCAGTGGTGGCGCACACCTTTAATCCCAGCCCTTGGGAGGCACAGGCAGGCGGATCTCTGTGAGTCTCAGGCCAGCCTGGTCTATAGAGAGAGTTCCAGGACATCCAAGGCTACACAGAGAAACCCTGTCTCAAAAAAGAAAAAAAATTAAATAATAAAAATAATAACATAGCTATTAGAGAGAGCTTCATATTAGAAGGTCATATACCCCAAAGCCATGTTTCCTATTTCCATAGACCCTGGCAGAAAATTGATAGGAATTTTAATTTTCTTATAGTTAAATGATGAAGACAGAGTTATGATGTAGTAATTCATAAGATGATTAAAGGGAGAGGAGGGCTGGTACCTGTATATAATGTAACAAAGTTGGTTCAAGATACTGGCATCCAGGCTTAGGAGTGCAGAATGGAAGATCACAGGAGGAAACAGCATCACTAATGGAAGGTCATAATTTATATATATGTCACACACCTTTTGGAAAGAATGTTAATATCAATATAGAGATTATCTTCCATAAATCAATGAAGTTTACTCAAAGAATCATCAATGTAAGATAAGCAATAATATATCATTACATCTGAACCTGAATAATTTCTAAATAAAAAGGACAGCTATAAGTCTGTTTAAAATACAACTCATCAAACATCAACCTTAACTCAGAAAACTATTTCTATAAGACCATTATTAAAATATTTCATTTAGATAGGCCAGGTGGTGTGTGCCTTTAATCTCAGCACTCAGGAGGCAGAGGCAGGTAATTCTGAGTTCATGGCCAGCCAAGGATACACAGTGAGATCCTGTCTCATAATAATTAATTATTAATAAATATTATTAATTAATAATATAGCATAGTATTATTAGGGGGCTGGGGAAATGGCTCAGGAGTTAAGAGCATTGTCTGCTCTTCCAGAGGACCCAGCAACCACATGGTGGCTTATAACCATCTGTAACTTCAGTTCCAAGGGCTCCAATGTCCTCTTCTGGCCTCTGTGGCACCAAGTATGCATGTGGTGCACAGACATACATGCAGGTAAAGCACCCATACAAATAAAAATAAAAGTAAATAAATCTTTAAATTTTTTTCACTTCATCTTAGAACTGGAAAAACATGTTATAGTAAAGGAACATTTCTTTCTCTCTAAGTCTCCCAAATATTTATCAGTTAACTGGCAACATGGAAAACAAAGGAGCACATTCTTTTAAACAAATATGTAACATTGGCTGAAGAGAAGTGCCAGTAGGCAGAATGTTTGTCTAGCACAAACAAGGCCCTAGTTTCAATCCCCAGCACCACATCAACTAGGAGTAGTGATCCAAGCCTTTACTCCCAGAACTCCAGGAGAGGATGAGAGGATATTCAGTGTACCGGCTAGTTTTAGGTCAACCTGATATAAACTAGAGTCATTTGGGAATAGGGAAGGAACCGCAATTGAGAAAACGTCCCACCAGACCAGACTACAGACAACCCTGTGGTGCATGTTCTTGATTGATGATTAATGTGGAAGGGCCCAGCTCACTGTGGATGGTGCCACCTCCAGGCTGGTGCTCCTGAATGCCATGTTTATGGCATTTTTTCAAAGCAGGCTGAGCAAGTCATGAGGAGCAAGGCAGTAAGCAGTGATCCTCCATGGCCTCTGCATATTAGCTCCTGCCTCCAGGTTCCTGCCTTCAATTCCCTTCGTGATGGACTGTGACTGGGAAATGTAAACTGAAATAAACCAATTGCTCCCCAAGTTGGTTTGGTCATGGTATTTTATCAAAGCAACAGAAACCCTAACTAAGACACCCAGCTACACATCAAATTTGTGGCCACCCTGGACTACAAGAGACCTACCTCAAAACCAACCAACAAATAAACAAACAACAAACTAGGTATTGGTGAATGAAGAGAGAAAACGGGAAAGGAAGATGATAATGGGTCCTTTGTGGTGGTGACAGTATTAGCCATGTTAAATCCTATAAAACAGTAAAAGAACTAGAATTATAAAGGTACTAACTAGGGACCAGGAAAAAATTAAGCACTTGAAAAGCCAGGAGTAGAAATCTGAAAAAGCAATATAGCATTTTCTTTTGTTCTGCCAGAGGATGGGGATAAACAATAGATGAACAACAACAAAATGATGCTAGATAGAGACTTCTGCCTAGGACCAGCCTTTTAATAGGTCAATATATTATAAAACAGTATCTGAACTAAAAACCAACCAGATTTTATTTTACAATTGTTCTATGAAAGTCAGTTACTCGGATGAAACTACATTTGTTTGATTAAAGTCAGTTACTCACGTGAAAATAAACCATTAATTTCAAAACATGGTTATTCTAACTACATAGTAAGATCATAACTTACCTTCATGATTATACCTGAAATTTACATCATAGGCCAATAAAGTGACTACCTATCATAAATTTGTGATTTGTATACTACCTTCTCATAGAAGTCTAAAATAAAGTGCAACAACAATGTACTGTTGCTCTCCAAGCGCACTGCAACCGTGGCCAGCCAGCCTACGTAGTCAATCAACTGAGACACAGAGTCCATGGCTCCGCCCAAAGTTGTCTCTCTGTAATAAGAAATTATAATACTCAGATATACACCAGCAAATCGCTGTTTCCAAGCTAAAGGTAGGCGATATAAAGCAACAAATGGATAGGGAATTAAAAAACTATCAGTTCTCCAATGTACAATTTACTTTCTTTTAAAAAATAAAAGCACAGTGATTAACCATTGTATTGTGGTTAATCCACCAACCTAGATGTCCCTCAACTGAAGAATGGATAAAGAAAATGTGGTGCATTTACACAATGGAGTATCACTCAGTTGTTAAAAACAATGACATCATGAATTCAAAGGCAAATGGATGGAACTAGAAAGATCATCCTGAGTGAGGTAACCCAGACTCAGAAGGACAAACATGGTATATACTCACTCATAAGTGGATACTAGATGTTAAGTAAAGGACAATCATGCTACAATCCACAGACCCAGAGAGGCTAAGTAACAAGGAGGGCTCAAGGGGGCACACATCGATCTCCCGGAGAAGGGGAAATAGAATAGATTTTGGACTGGGGGTGGGTGGGGATGGGAACAGGAGGATCTGGGGGAAGGAGGGAGAAAGTACTGGAAGAGACAACTGGAACTGGGGGCATTCGCGGGAGATGTAGAAACCTAGTGCAGTGTAAACACCCTGGAATCTAGAACAGTGACCCTAGATTGTGAAGTCTAGTAACTGGGGATGTGGAGCCCGAACTGGCCATCTGCTATAACCAAGCAAGACACCTCACAGTGGGACTGGGACACCAACCCCGCCACAAAACCTTCAACCTACAATCTGTCCTGCCTCCAAGATGTGCTAGGGCAGTGGTGGCACAGAGCTTGTGGGAGTGGCCAGCCCATGACTGGTCCAACTTGAGGCCCATGCCACAAGAGGGATCCCATGCCTGACACTGCCTGGATGGCCAGGAACCAGAGGCCGGACAGCCCAGAGACCCAGGAGAGAACCAAACACGATTGCAAAAAAAAAAATTAATGAAATTATTCCTAATGGTATTCTGCTATACTTATGGATCGGTGCCTAGCCCAGTTGTTATTAGAGGGGTTTTATCCAGCAACCGATGGGAGCAGATACAGAGACCCACAGCCAAACACTAGGTGGAGACAGGGGAACCCCACAGAAGAAGATTACAGGAGCCAGAGGGGACTAGGACATCATGAGAACACGGCCCACAAGATCAACTAAGCAGAGCTCATAGGGGGTCATAGAGACTGAAACAACAAACAGATCCTGTATGGGTCTGAGCTAGGTCCTCTGCATATACCTTATGGTTGTAGAGTTGGGTGTTCTTGTGGGACTCCTAACAATGGGAGTAGGAGGTGTCTCTGACTCTTTTGCCTGTGCTTGGGACTCTTACTTCCTCCTACTGGGTTGCCACATCCAGCCGTGCTATGAGAGTTTGTGCCCAGTCTTATTGTATCTTGTTAGGTCATGTTCAGTCACTGTCCCAAGGAGGCCTGCTCTTTTTTTTTTTTAAGGGAAACAGAGAAGGAGTTGGTCTGGGGGAAAGAGGACGTGGTGGGAGGGACTGGTAGGAGCAAAGGGAGGGAAGACTGCAGTCGAGATGTAATGGATGAGAGAATAAAAGCTAAAAATAAATTTAAAATACAGTTATTACTCTTGGTCTTTTTAAAAAAATTTTTGAGACAGGGCTTCACTATGTAGCCCTGGCTGTCCTGGAACTCACTATGACACAGACCAGGCTAACCTTAAACTCAGAGATGCGCCTGCCTCTGCCTCCCAAGTCCTGGTATTAAAGGCGTGTGCCACCAATGCCCAGCACTCTTGTCTTCTAAGGAACCATTTTAAGATAAACTCATAGATAGCCAGGCATGGTGGTGCACATCTTTAATGCTAACACTTGGGAGGCAGAGGCAGGCAGGTTTCTGTGAGTTTGAAGCCAGGATGTTCTACAAAGTGAGTTCCAGGACAGCCAGGGCTGTTACACAGAGAAACCCTGTCTCCAAAAAAACCATAAAAACAAAACAAAACAAAAAGATAACTCATAAGCCGGGCGGTGGTGGCGCACGCCTTTAATCCCAGCACTCGGGAGGCAGAGGCAGGCGGATCTCTGTGAGTTCGAGGCCAGCCTGGGCTACAGAGTGAGCTCCAGGAAAGGCGCAAAGCTACACAGAGAAACCCTGTCTCGAAAAACCAAAAAAAAAAAAAAGATAACTCATAGAACATTTTCAGCAACCAGATTTGAGAAGAAAAGAAAAAGATTAAGTTTCAAACAAATTCTGGATAATGTTACAATACTGAAAAACAATTACAGTCAATATATTTGTCTCTAGTAAATGATTAGTACTGAATTCTAACACTCCTCAATTATGGAAATCCCTTAGTGAAAAATAAACAAAAATCACTAATAATGGGTACTCAATAACAACTCAGAGAAAAGGAGTTCATGACAAAGTGACACAAAACATTCAGAAAAATTAAAAATGAACAAAATAAATATAATCTCTTTAAATGATACAATATATAAAATGAGTAGTTCAATCTATCCATTTCTCACATGTATCTTTCAGTCCACACTCAAAAAGATTTAGAAAAGATCTACAAACGTGAACGCAGTTTTACCCTCCTATCTAGGTAGATAGTTGACAATGGTTCTGCACTGAAAAAAAGGATAATGTACAGTCTGTGATAGTGCATAGTCTCAGAGTTTAGGAGATGATGACTCTCCCACTACTCACTACCATGATGGTTCAATGACAGAAGCAGGGAAATATTGAGACCATTTAACAAAGCATACAATAACCTCCTTACTCGTAAAACTGATGTAGCATACTTTAGTTTTTCAGGATTTCAAACGTGTCACAAATAATTGCAAACAATGATGACTGCTCCCAGCAACCTTTTCTTTTTTAATGTGGTACTAGATATATAATCCAAGGCCTACTGCATGCTAGGCAAGTACCTTGCCACTGACCTACATCCTCAGCTCCAGAACAGACTTCTTGGTGAGTGCTCCTTTATAAATCACTGGCATTCTAAATAAAACAATCCATGGTTCAGAACTGCCTCATATTCCTACCTCCACCCCCTGAAGTATGTTCAGCATTCTCAGATGCCACCTGTCAAATGATAACAGCACCCCCTTTCCAGTCATTGCTACAGCCAGAAATGTCCCTGGAAAATGACAGCAACATGGTCTTCTATCCTTCTCTTCTAAGGATCTATCACTACAATTTACTGTCTTCTGGTCACTTACATGGCAAATAGTCATATAATAGAAATAAAACATTATACTAATTTTTCCAAAATGAATTAATGAAAACTTATGAGCTATATTGAACTTTTGTGTTTGTTTTATTAATTATCATATGGGTATGCATGCACAGGCATACAGGTCACAATGCACATGTGAGGTCAGAAGACTACTCTTAGAAGTCTATTCTCTCCTGCTATCTTGTGGGTGGGACCTTGGATTTGAACTCAGGTTGCAAGGCCTGCTGCACTCAAGCACCTGCTAAGCCATCTCACTGGCACACGGGCAGTATTATTTAATCCCAAATATTATGACAAGGCTATGTAGACACATGCCCATTTATCTGCTTAAAAAGCACTGTTCCTTTTTAGATCACCTCTCTAAATTTACGACAGAATATGAAAAATCTGGGCTAAGAATTTAGCTCAGTGGCAAAGCATTTGCTTAGCTTGTATGAGGCCTGAGTTTCATTCCCAGCATCACACAAAAGAAAAAGGAGAAGAAGAATTTGTAGAAAGATGCTACAGAAACTGTCAGGTATTTATTTCAGGGGTGTATCTACTGCAAGGTAGCCAAAGGTTACATAAGCAAAAACACTGTTCTGGTAGTATTTCTTTACAATAGTGGTTCATAAACTAAAGTTTGCACTAGAATTGTGGGAATAGTAAAACAAATTACTGGGTCACCTGTAGGGCTTAACTCAGTAGATCAAGAGCAGCAGGACCTAACAATTTTAATATCTGAGAAGTTCCCAAGTGGTATTGACACTAATCATACACTTTTTTTAAAGAATCAGAGCTTCATAAGATTTCTTCACTAGCTGAGCATGGTGGCACATATTTTTAATCCCAGCACTCAGAAGGCAGAGGCAGGCAGACCTCTGTGAGTTTGAGGCCAGCCTCATCTACAAAGCATGTACCAGGCCAGCCAAGGCTACACAGTAAGATGCTATCTTCAAAAAAAATGTCTTCACTACCCACTAATGCTCCATGTTCCATTTGTTTCTAAAAGTGGTCATAAGCATATAGAGAAACACTATAATAATGAATAGAAGGAAGGCTGGAGAGATGATGGCTCAGAGGTTAAGAGCACTGACTGCTCTTCCAGAGGTCCTGAGTTCAATTCCCAACAACCACATGGTTGCTCACTACCATCTGTAATGAGATCTGGTGCCCTCTTCTGGCCTGCAGGAATGCATGCAGGCAGAACACTGCATATGTAATAAATAAATCTTTTAAAAAAAATAATGAATAAGAAGAATTAAAAAATAAATTTCCAAGCAACCTACTTCTAACTCTCCATTCCTCTACCCAAACTATAACTCACTCTAAGGATAAAACAGAAAACAAGCCGGGCGGTGGTGGCGCACGCCTTTAATCCCAGCACTCGGGAGGCAGAGGCAGGCGGATCTCTGTGAGTTCGAGGCCAGCCTGGGCTACCAAGTGAGTCCCAGGAAAGGCGCAAAGCTACACAGAGAAACCCTGTCTTGAAAAACCAAAAAAAAAAAAACAGAAAACAAACCTGAGCTAAATGTTTGGACATTGGTTCAATTTGCAATTAACTGCTATTTGTGAGAGTTAGGTATGTAGTTCAGTTGGTACACTGCTTCTCCAGTGTGAATAAACACTGGAATTGATTCCTAGCACCACACACACTGAATATAGTGATGTACACCTACAATCCTAGCACTTGGAAAGCACTTGAGGGAGATCAATAGCTAAAAGCTAGCCTCAGGGTTGGGGATTTAGCTCAGTGGTAGAGCGCTTGCCTAGCAAGCACAAGGCCCTGGGTTCGATCCTTAGCTCAAAAAAAAAAAAAAAAAAAAAAAAGAGCCAGCCTCATCTACACAATAAGTTTGAGGGCCACTTGGGATACATGAGACCCTGTCTCAAAAAAATAAAATAAAATGAAAATGATGTATGTTGGGCTGGGTGGGGAGATGGCTAAGAGGATAAAGCATTTGACATATAAACTTGACAACCTAAATTAAATCCTCAGAATCCATGTACAGTGGAAAGAGCAAATCAACTCCACAACATTGTCCTTTGACCTTCCACACACCGTGGCATGCATGTGTACATATGGGTCTACATATATAAACACACAGATTAATAATAAATATGACAAAAATTTGTAAACTCTTAGCTTTAGGTATCATAGCAGAACCATTTTAACAGCTGAGATGACATCTGGGTTTCACTAAAGAATAATCTAAGGGCCGGGCAGTGGTGGTGCATGCCTTTAATCCCAGCACACGGGAGGCAAGAGGCAGGTGGATCTCTCTGAGTTCGAGGCCAATCTGGTCTACAAAGTGAGTTCCAGGACAGGCTCCAATTTTAGTATATGTGCTGCCAAAGTGAGCACCCAGGACAGGCTCCAAAGCTACACAGAGAACCCGTCGCAAAAAAAACAAAATCAAAACCAAAAAAAAGGAAAGTAATATACTAGGGGTTGCTAACATTGTGCGTTCTCTCTCTCTCTCTCTCTCTCTCTCTCTCTCTCTCTCTCTCTCTCTCTCTCTCTTTTCTGTGTGTGTGTGTGTGTGTGTGTGTGTGTGTGTGTGTGTGTGTGTGTGTGTGTGTCTATCTTTGGAATTTATTTATTTATTTATTTTTAATTTGATAATTTAATTTTACATATCAGCCATGGATTCCCCTGCCCTCCCCCAATCCACCCCCTATTTATGCTGGGAATTTATTTTTATTATCTATGTTTTTAGTATTTACTCCTTCCTTGGGAATTTCAGACAATGTATTTTGATAGTATCCCCTAACCCCTCTCTTTAACTCCTACCTCCCTAGCCCCCTCAACTTCATATCCTCTTTTTTTAATTTAATAAGCCGTCAGCTCCAATTTGTGCTGCCCATATACTTCTGATAATAGGGTCATTCGCCGGGTCACGGTCAGCCTACCAGGAGCTACACTCTTAAAGAAATTCAATTTATCCCTGAAGCTGCACCGTCCTTAGCTCTTCAGGGTGGAGGCTCCATGCTACCATACTGACTGGCTTAGCTCCTCAGGGTGGAGGCTCCATGCTAGCATACTGACTGGCTTAGCTCCTCAGGGTGGAGGCTCCATGCTACCATACTGACTGGCTTGCTCTTGTGCTGCCGTGAGTTCATGGAAGCAGTGGGCCTGGCATGTCCAGAAGCCTCTGCTACATTCTAGTCCACCCAGACCTAACTCTTATAATCTCCCCGCCCCTCTTCCACGATGGTCTCTCCTATCTCTATTTTTGATTATGCTTACAATTTTCTATAATACAAACTTTTTAAAGCACTAAAGAATCATGTGGCCGACAGGATATAAGAGAATCCAAACAGGCAGAAAGAATCAGAACAACCTGATTATGTAGTTCCTTGAAATTTGGTGTTTCACTTTGGGGGTAAAGCATACATTTAATGGAAATTCAAATTCATTTTTAACTCCAAAGCCAAGATAAATTAATGCATGTAACCTAAATACATGTCATGAACAAAACCCATCATTAAAACTGGCTCAGTATATAAAATGCATTATATAAAGTGAATTAAAGTAAATGGAGTCAAAGCTGCATTGTAATTTTGGCTTTCCAGCCTTTTTTTACCATATTACCTAGTGCCAAATCATTCAAAAGGATTTGCTTTTTGGTTTACCAAATAGTAACTTAGAAAATATACTTTTCTTTCAGGATTGTGGGAATAAAATGTGAAGAGTAACTAAAACATTTCCAGAAAAGTTCTATGAACTATTTACATGAAATAACTAAGTCTCATGCCATCTTAGATTCCATATGCAAACATTTTTATATAGACCATCTCTGTGGAAGACCACAGGATAACTCACAGAGGACTGTTAGTCACCAGTTGCACGTGGGCATCCGTAGAAAGCCACAACAGCCAATTCTGCAGTAGTTCTTTCAGACTTTGAAGAACACTACACTGAGGGGGGAAACAAAACAAAACAAAATCATCAAAAGCAAACAGGATTTAGACCTAACAGAGGCTAGAAACGGAAGGGACCTTGGAGATGGCCATACCCCACTTAGAACTCAAATAGTTGCTACTCCAATGAGTTCAGTCTACAAAGGACAGATGAATACAAGCACAAATTTATGTTATCATTTTTTTTCTAGAAGAAACATACCTCAACAAGACTTCCAGCTTAGCCCAGGAACAGAGTTTTCTCTAAATCACATTCCTTTATAACACATATTACATCATCAAATAAACCATCACCCTTGGTCATGCATGGCGGTACAAATCTATAATGCCAGCTTTAGGAGGTAGAGTTAGAGAGATAAAGAGTTCAAAACCAGTGTTATCTACATATCAATTTTGATGCCAGCCTGGGCTGCATAAGACTATCTCAGAAACAAAATCATCCTTATTGTCCCCTCAGAAATCATTTGAAGTTGCTACAAGTAAGACTTCTCTACCCCTTTTACTTTGTGGTCTTTGAGTACAAGCTACTTCCTTTCTGATGGTTTTAAAAATGAGTCTTCTGTAACTCTGGAAAACAAACATTTCTAATCTTTATGTTCTCAGATGTTACCCTGCCTTCCCAGGGTCTCATTCACAATTCGGGCCTGAAAGTTAAATACTGTTCTCTATTCTTTTTTTTGTTTTTTGTTTTTTGTTTTTTGAGACAGGGTTTCTCTGTGTAGCTTTGGAGCCTTTCCTGGAACTCACTCTGTAGCCCAGGCTGGCCTCAAACTCACAGAGGGGCATCTGCCTCCCGAGTGCTGGGATTAAAGGCCTACCCAGCCTGTTTTCTATTCTTGATTTATTTTCTGTTCCCTTTTCTCCTTTCCTCCCTCCTTATCCCCATCCCCCACTCTCAAACATAAACAGATGTATGGACAAATGAATGTGTACATGCATAGTAGGTTAAATCATAAACAACTGCTAATTATCAACCACCCTTACCTACAAATGTGACAATTGCCTACAGTTCAACCAAACATTCATAGTTAAACAGCTCTTTAGATTAGTGGGATGAGTGAAGAAATTAAAAAGAACTCAACTAGAAGATTAGGAGAGAACTGCAAAAAAAATTTTTTTAAATAGTCTCAAACTTTTTTAGCTAGGATAGCTAGGATTTTCTTTTGAATGACAGTAGTTATAAAGTAGTAAGTTACAATATAAAATTAGCAAATTCAAGCTAATGTGATAGGCAATAAAGTGATATGCAACAAATACTAACCAGAACAACTTATTTCCTATAATGTGTCCAATAGTGAGTCATTTAAGGTGTAAAATGTCAGTAAAAGAAATATTCTATCGTCGCTGCTTTCGAAGAGGGATGGACATTCAGTAGGAAGGGGGTTCAAGGAGCTGTGTCACTACTGCACTCTCACAGTGGGAACAAGAGTTAGAGCAGACGTCATGGCTCATGTCCCTAATCCTAGTGCCTAGAGAGCTCAGGCAAGAAGACAGATGCAGGTGAAAGGTCATCCTGAGTTCCAGGGAAACCTGGGCTTCTCAACTTCACATCCCCACATCCCAGAAACCCTCAAAAAAAGGTAATTAGTATATTTATGAAATAAATAAGCATTATGTTCAAATGTCTGGCAATGCATTATGATAAAACTAGCCTTATATTCTAGGAGACTGGAACTTTGGCTGAACCTCACAGCCTGAGTTAATAACACACCTTGAGGTCACTTAAAGACTGCCAGCCTACTGTGTATCCATCCGGCTTGTCTGTTTATTCTGCCTGTATGAGAACAATGTAACAATCAACCTTACTTGCCTTGGACTTCCCACCTCATCAGATTTTATAACCTAAGCTAGAGCATAACTGTAACCTTATGTTATGTACTTTTCCATGCCCCCCAACCCAGAGCAATGTATGTGGTTTTTAGTTTTGTTTTTTTGTTGAAAGCAGCAAATATAGAGATTGAAAGCAACCTTCTAAAATGAATATCCACCATAAATGTTGAACATAACACTTACAGATTAAACAATGATATTTGTAGTTCTGTTTGTTTTCTGGATCAGTTGGAACCAGTGGCTTAATCCCTTGTTAAACTCTGTTAAAGATTTCAGTAAAGTATCATATTCTTGCTCTTGGTTAAATGACTCTAAGGGGAAGGATTTTATTTCTTTAATGTGATACTGATGCAGTGTTGGTGACTCGGAGTTGATAACAATGCATTCAATCCACACACAAAAGTATAAAGTTTAAAACTCCAAGTATGGGCCGGGCGGTGGTGGCGCACACCTTTAATCCCAGCACTTGCGAGGCAGAGCCAGGTGAATCTCTGTGAGTTCAAGGCTAGCCTGGGCTACCAAGTGAGTTCCAGGACAGGCGCAAAGCTACACAGAGAAACCCTGTCTCAAAAAACAAAACAAAACAAAACAAAACAAAAAAAACCTCCAAGTATGGTTGAGTATTTTCCCAGTTGGTTTATTTTTATATTCATGTTAATATGCTTTGACACGTTTTTCATGATCTTATTTGCTGCTTACTTGTGTAAAAAGTTCAGGAAAAATGTGTGACAAAGCTTTCAAACCAGAAAGTTCTATGCTCTTGAACTTTATATGCCATAATACAGTACAGTTACAAAATCAATGCAGAGGCTAGGTGTGGTGAGACATACCTGTACTGTTAACACTGGGGAAGCAAGGGCCAGGAGAAATGCTGCCCAGCCTTGTCTATATAACAAACTCCAGGCAGGCCTAGGCTACAATAACTAGCAAACCCTAATATCAAAGGAAAGGGGGAAGGAAGGGAGAGATGGAGGGAGGGGGGAAGGAGGGAGGAAGGGAGGAAGGAAGGAAGTCACTGCTGGAGGACTAGAGGTGCATTTCAGTTGGTAGAATGCTTGCCTAGCATGCATGAAAGCCTGGGTTTGACCCCATCATCACAGAAACCGGACATGGAAGTACATGACTGTAATCCCAGCACTTAGGAGGTAGGGCAGGAGGATCAGAAGTTCAAGGTCATCTACATCTACACAGAAAACTTATTGCGTTGGACCCAGACTGAGCTACATGAGACTATCTCAAAAAAAAAAAAAAGAAAAGAAGAAAAAGGAAAGAAAGAAAAAGAGAAAAGTAAAGGAGGGCAGGTAAAATGACCCAATGGGTAAAAGAACTTGCTGCCCGGCCCGATGACCTCAGTTCTAGCCCCATGACCCATATGATGGAGAAAACCACAAGATGACCTCCAAAATTCCATGTCATGGCACATGCATTGTGGTGTACGTGTACACACACACACACACACACACACACACACACACACACACACACACACACACACAAAAATGTTATAAAATTTCAAAAGAGAAGAAGAAAGAAAATCACTGCCAGAATTCCAGTTTGGAATCATTTAACACCAGTTAATACAAGTATGTTTTTTCCTCAGTATAAGATGCATTTAGTTTTTGCTTTTGGATTTTTACCTTGAAATAAATGGTTGATGTAAAGAAGAGAGGTGCTAGATGATCAAAAAGAAGTGGCTTCACCTCTAGGAAATAGAAAACAAGAGTTCAAAATTCTTTTAATTTATATTACATTGAATTAAAGGAGTTCAAGATGTGGTTTAAATGAGAATGTCCCCATAAGTTCAGGTGGTCTGAAAACTTGGACCCCAGTTGGTGGCACTATGAAAGTAGGTTGCTGAAGGAAGTATGTCACTGGAGGTGGGCTTTAAGGTTTCAGAGCCTAGCACCATTCCCAGTCCACTCTCTGCTTCATGCTTGTGGTTTAAGATTTCTGGTCCCACCTCCATGCCTTTGCTAAACTGTCATGGATTCTAACCTTCTGGAACCATAAGCCAAAATAAACTCTTGGTTGCCTTGGTAATGGTGTTTAATCACAGCAAAAGAAAAATAACTAATAAGTTTTCATGGTACATACCAGAGAAGCTACTGAATGGAATCCAGGCCATAAGCTGAAGGAACTGTGACCGACAGGAGAAGCCATCCCAGAGAGGCAGGCTCTTATACAGGAACGCTTCAGAGGAGTAAAACCCCTCCTGAAACACAAGGTGATTGCAAAATCTCAAATAAAATCATGAATATTCTTAGCCAGGTAGTGGCAGCACATGTCTTTAATCCCAATACTCAGGAGGCAGAGGCAGACAGATCTCTGAGTTCGAGGCCAGCCTGGTTCCAGGACAGCAGGGCTACACAGAGAAACCCTGTCTCAAAAACAAACAAAAAAAATATTTTCTGAGTTCGAGACAAGGTTGGTCTACAAAGCAAGTTCTAGGACAGTCATGAATAAGCAAAAACAAACAAACAAAACAAAACAAAACCCCAAAACAACTATTTGCTAGCCAGGCAGTGGTGGCACATGCCTTTAACCCTAGCACTCAGGAGGCAGAGGCAGGTGGGGTTCAAGGCCAGCCTGGTCTACAAAGAGAGTTCCAGGACAGCCAAGGACTACACAGAGAAACCCTATCTCAAAATAAAAATCGCAAATACTCTTTAACAACCACTTTATTTCATGCTATAGTTGTTTCAGTTGCATGAGAATATCTAGACAGTGCCAATACATGAGTTTCAGCTTTAATTGCAACTCTGAGATACCCAGGACAAATAATCCAAATGCTAAGATATATCTGACACTCCAAAACACTTGTAGCTATTAAAAACATAAGTCATGTGCTGGAGCTGGAGCTCAGTCAGAGTGCTTGCCTAATTCCAGAACCACCTAAACTGGATGTGGTCACACACGCCTCTAATCCCAGCATTTAAGGGGTAGAGGTAGGATGATCTAATCAGGAGTTCAGAGTCATTTTCAGCTACATACTAAATTTAAGGCCAGCCTGGGCTAACGAGGCCCTGTTAAAGAATTAATTAATTAATTAATTAAAAAGAACACAAGTCATGGGCTGACGATGTGGATCAGTGGTATATAAGTGCTCACCTAGTATGTATAAAGCTCTGGATTTGATTGCCAGCCCTTGCTCCAACCTCCCCAAAAAAAGAACACAAGTAGTAACCCTATAAGATTTATATTCCTGGCTAATTCAATTAATTAAATGCATTAAATCATTTATTTTCTTTAAATTATAGAACTTTCCATTCTATTTAAAATTTTAAACTTATTCTTTCTTCAAACATAATAGTGCAAAAATAAACATCAGTGCCACTAGGCTCTATGAATTTCAAATTGTGCACATAGTATTTTTTGAAAAAAGCCAAGAAGGAAAATAAATAAGTAACAATAAAAATCAATGCCATCAGGTAGTAGGGTACATCAGGTACTATGACTCAGTTGGTCGACTGCTTGCCTAGGACTTAGTTTGACTCCCCAATACTGCAAACAATCAGGTGTGGTGACACATGAAACCCTACCTCCCAAACTGAAGATGTCAGCTACTAAAGAAATATTGCAATAGACATCCAAACACATCTTAAGAATGATGACATCTATAGGAAACAAATGGAATCTTACTTGTAAGAAGCACTGCACCCTGATGACAATGTCCAGGAAGTTTATAAATTCTTTTTCTTCTTCAAAATTATTCATATTATACCACATACATTCTAGAGCAGAAATATTAAAATAAGCACCTGGTTATGCAATAATAAAACAATACAAAATATATCACTACTCTGAAGCGACAAAGAAATGACCGATTAAAGAAGTTAAAAGATTCCAATATGCGACTCAGTGACACTGTAGATTATAACAGGGTCTTGGAAGTGACAGTCAGCAAACATGATAACATAGGGGAAAGCTTATAGTAAAAACACTGGAAAAGTTCACTCACAATGAATGAGATTAGCTCAAGTCACAGTAATCCAAGTGACTATAAATGCACAGCTGAAAATAGGTATAAGCTACAAGTGGTGAGAACTTACAAAGTGAAAATCGAATTAATTGGATCACATATTCCATAAAGAAAGATTCTAAGTCAAAGGAGCAAGAGCCTATAATGACTAAAGCTGACTTCAAAGATTTGAACAGTCAGGTATTACATAATCCAAGAAATAAGTAGTCTTGATAGTCAACAAAATTACTAGGGAAAATGTCTCTGTGGATGAATGAAATGGTCAGGCTTTACTATGGCCTGCATGGAGGACTCCCCACTGTCACTTCCTTTAATTCTATAATTAAGAAAATTTCTAATGACCAATGTGTCCTTAGAAGAGGTAGACTACCTGGCACACATGAGCATTTTGGTCACCAGAAAGAATCACTTCTATTATAAAATAATAAGTTGATATTCTGTCTTACAAATTGATTTTCTCCGAGTTGGCTTAATATTGATGATTCTTGCATGATCCCAGGAATACAAAGAACTCTGAGATTAAGACTACTATCTGAAAACTTTTGATAACCATTTAGCAGTGTTCACCTAACACCACTCCTTTTTGATTGTCTTAAAATGACAGCACCATAACTATTCACGTTCAAGATAAATGATTACCAGGTGATTATAGTATATGAAGTCTCCTCTGGTCCAAAATTTCTAATCTAGAATAAGAAATCTATTTACAAACTATCTTCTTCCACTCTCATTTATCCAGTGCTTTACACCATCAATTCTTACCTTCTTGTAATGTTTGATTCAACCAGTAATAGAGCCTCAGTAAGATCGACTCATCTTTGACACAGTTAATATAGTGAAGTAGCAGAGAGTTGTTTAGCACTGAGCTCATCTGAGAAGGCAGCTGTAAAGATGGAACAATCAATCAAGAGTAAGTACATGAAATGTAGGTCACAGCAATAAGTAAAACATTGCATAGGAAACATACAACAAAAACAGAGGCTATGGGGCCTGAGCTAAGACTCAGTGGAGAGTATTTCGCTAGCATGTGTAAGCCTCAATCTCAAGTACTGAAAAAAAGAGGCTATCCAGATCAAACAGAAAATTCTAGTCAGTACCTGCTCCAGTCACAAACCTCTAAGCAATGAATGTTCTGTAAAAGTTGAGGGAAACTCCGAAGCTCTTCTAGTGGAAGTGATCTATCGCTGCTGAGATAATCAGAAAGACTCATCTTCTTTTGCCCACATTCTTTGTTAGCAGAATTTAGTGCTGGAATAACTGAGTGAGAACTCCACTTCTAAAGGAGAAAGATAATACAATAATCTATCAGTGCATTAAAAAGACAATCTAAAAAAAAATAAAAGCAAGTCAGATGTGGTGGTACACTCTTTTAATGGCACTCAGAGACAGAGGCCAAGCCTAGTCAACATATCAAGTTTTGGGCCATCTGAGGCTACATTTTAGAAAAATACAATCTCACAAATAAATAAATAAATAAAGTTAAGATGTTTCACTTAATGGGAGTCTGAATGTGGTTTGCATAGAATACTAGATTATCAAAGTCTATTTAAATACCTATAATCACCACCATGTGAATGGTTACTATTTTTAAAGCCACAAGTCTTTTTGCTTTACATTACTTACTCTTTTTAGAGAAGAGCCTTTAGTTGGACCTAATGTTAGCTTTGGAGGTTCTGGAAAAGCTCCTTGGTTTCTTAGCTTCACAGCAAGCAGAGCTGAAGTCCACAGATTCTTTGAATTATTAAAATAGATCTACAAATTTAGGTGTAAAGTACAGAAGATTAGGTACTTATGAGTCAGAGCAACATAATAAGAGTCCCAAACTATTAACTGATTGCATATTAATTATGAAATATTTACACTCGTATAAATCCATTTAATGTTTTTTTCTCTCCTAATCAGGAATCTATTATAATGCATCAAAGGGATCAACACAAAGGGCCAATCTCTAATACACCTTCTCCCAAGAGAACTGAGAAAGATTTTAGCCCAAATCTGTAAATTAACTTTATGAAAAATAATACACTTTGCTAGGGGTTGTGGTGAACACCTGTAGTCCCAGCATTTGGGAAGCCAAGGAAGGAGATGACTTGGAGGCTAGCCCCAGCCACCATACCACAACTCTCTCTCTCAAACAAAACAAAGGAAACAAAATGTATTCAATCTCAGTAGGAGTTCTCTCTCAGTAATCCCTTACCTTCCTCCTTGCAGGCAAAGATACAGAAATCAAAGTAGGTGCAAAGAACTTATATAGCGATAACAAAGCCTGGAGATGATGCTGCATTCCCTGAAATAAAGTAAGAATTTTCCATTTTTCAAATCAGCGATCAAATACAAACTAAGAGCTAATACTAAACAAAAGGTGGTAAAAAAAAAAAACTAAGTCTAAACCTTTAGACTCTAATTTTACAGTTTGTCAGAACAATAAAAAGCTATAGAAAGTATAGAAATGAGTAACCATCTGGATGTGGTGGCACACACCTTCAATCCCAACAACCAGGAAGCACAAGTAGAAACAAATGGAACTCTATATGAGTTTAGGACTAGCCTGGTCTACATAGACAGTACCAGGCCAGATAGGGCTAAATAGTAAGAAACTGTCTGTGCTGGCTAGCTTTTATGTCAGTGTGACACAAGGGAGGGTCATTTGGGAACAAAGAATCTTTTCTGAGAAAATACCTCCATAGGATTGTCCTATAGAACTGTCAATTGATGACTGATATTCGAGGGCCCAACCCATTGTGAGTGGGGCCACCCCTGGGCAGGTGGTCTTAGGGTACATAAGAAAATAGGCTGAGCAAGATGAAATAAACTCTTTCCTCCCCAAGGTATTTTTAGTCACAGCAATAGAAACCCTAACTCAAAAAAAAGAAAAGAAAAAGAAAAAGGAAAGAAAGTAGAAAACGAGCAACCAGATAATTCATATCAACAATCTTAAAACAAACTTCTCCAATGAATAATCTTCTATTTTATGACTGTAACCTTATTTACTTCTTCCATGTATTTTCTCGATTCTTCTGCCTGTATTTTAGTCCTACAACTCATACTTGCTAGTACAGCATGGGTTTATTCAGAATGGCAATGTACTCAAGCTTCAGTGTTTATTACTCTTTAGGGCTAGAGAGATAGCTTAGCTCTTCAGATCACCAGATACTCTTGCAAAGGACCCAGGCTCCATTCTCAGCACCCACATGGCAGATCACAGTATTTATAACTCCACTTCTATGAGTTCTGACACCCTCTTATGGACCATTCGGGCAATGTACACATGTGATGCACATACACACATGCAGGCAAAATACCCATAAATATAAAACAAATAAATCTTTAAAAAATAAAAATAGCAGCCAGGGTGTGGTGGCACACGCCTTTAATCCCAGCACTCGGGAAGGGGAAGCAGGGAAGGCAGATCTCTGTGAGTTGGAAGCCAGCATGGTCTACATAGCAAGTTCGAAGACAGCCAGGGCTACATAGTCCCAAAAAAAAGTAAATGAATAAAGTATACTCATCTTCGAATTAAATATCAAGGAGTTAAGACCAAGAGTGAAGTCAAGAAAACAGAAAAGAGGAAATGCTAATTTAACAGGAACACTTGGTCATCATAAATCCTGCAAAAGTCATTAAGAAGGCCAATGAAGCTTGCGGTATGCACTTAACCCGTTTTCATATACTTGCTGTCGTTGATTGTTCCATCTTCACAGCTGCCCTCTCTAGTGGTATACAACAGTCAAGCAGCTGGACACAACCACAGTAAGTCTTCAAAAATACCAACTCAGAACTGAGAAAACAGCTGTCAACAAAGAACATGCCTGGCCAGCATGGAGACCTGAGTTTCATCCCCAGAACCCAAGTTTTAAAAAGTCATGTGTGGTGTTACATGTTTGTGGGTGTATATGTTAGGCAGAGACAGCTGGATCCCGGGGTTCACTTGCCATTCACTTGCCTAGTGTACTTGGCAAGTTCAGACTAGTGAGATGCCCTGTCTCAAAACAAAAGGTGCATAGGGACTGATAAAATGGCTCAACAGGTAAAGACAACTAGAGCCAGTCTTAATGACATGAGTTCACTCCTTTAGATCTGAATGGTGGAAGGAGAAAACCAACTTTGGCAAGTTGTCCTGATCCCCATAAGCACATCATGGCACATGCTCACTCACACATCTATAAAACACACACAGTGTGTGTGTGTGTGTGTGTGTGTGTGTGTGTGTGTGTGTGTGAGAGAGAGAGAGAGAGAGAGAGAGAGAGAGAGAGAGAGAGAGAGAGAGAGAGAGAGAGAGAAGATTCATACACACACAGTAGGTAGGTAGGTAGACAGACAGACAGACAGACAGATAGATAGATAGATAGATAATGTGGTGGATAGCTCCTGAGGAATGACATTCAAGATTGCTCTCTGGCCTCCCTGTATACTCGTATGTACATGTGCACCCTTGTAAACAAGTGCATACACATAAATCCTAACTTTGGAGTCTGGGGATTGTCTCAGTGGTAAAGTTCTTGCCTAGCATGTGTAAAGTCATGGGTTCAGTCTGTAGCAACACACACACACTCACATGCACACGTGCACACGCACACACAGTAAATTGTACATACACCATTTTTTTTTAAACAACACATATTATTGCAGACACCTTTAGGACTTATTGTATGGCTGACAACTTATCTTTTGGTTAAAAATGAATATATTGGGCCAGGCGGCAGTGGTGCATGCCTTTAATCCCAGCACTCAGCAGGCAGAGCCAGGTGGATCTCTGAGAGTTCGAGGCCAGCCTGGTCTACAGCACGAGAGCCAGGACAGGTACCAAAACTACACGAAGAAATCCTGTCTCGGAAAAAAAAAATGAACATATTGTACCGGAGATTGATCCAAGGCCTCATGCATACTAGGCAAGTACTCTACCACTAATCTATACCTTCAGCAGCTTTGATTTTCTGTTTTGGTGACTGAGTTCTCAGAAAGTAAGTTCCTTTAAGCTAAGACTCACTTAGCTTTGTATCTCCAAAGCCTAGCTCAATACCTAGCTCAAAGTGCAACTGGATACGCTAAGGTATTTTCTACACTCACCATTTTGGCCTGAAGATCAAGCAATTTTCTCACGCGAAATGGTTTGACTAGAAAATAGAAAAAAAGAGGTTCTAAGCATTTGCTTCAGCAAAAGAAGTCAGTTATACTTAGTGACCATGTAATTCTTATAATTTCTTATAACACATTAAAAATATAAATACCTCTTTACTTAAGCCACTATGCAGATGCTCTTAGATAAAAGTACTAAAAAAACAATGTTTAGAAAGTGAGAGTGGTCATATAAATAGTGCTAATAGTTATTTAAGTTTATAAAGGACCAAAGCACTGCTGAGTCTATAGAGTATACGTAACATGACCGGAACGAAATACTTACCATTCTCTTTTTTAGTCAGTAAATACAACAAATGGCAAACATGCGGGCACTGTTAAAACATAAAAAATAAATAAGAAAAATGACAGTGTTATTAACCAAAATACACTCAATGTTATCTGAACAAAATAACACCGTATCTTCCTCAACTGGCAATCATATGCTACCTAAGACGACTAGGGCTTTACTGAACAATAGTTTTACAAAGCATTCTCTTATTACACGATAGGCTGAGTATTCCTTATCAAAAATACTTGCCACCAGAAGTGACTATTCGACCCGAGCTATTTCCATGCACTTAATGAAAAAGCTATAGGATGACACATGACACAAAATTCACTGGTGATTTACATATACCCGATACAGACAGCTTGGAGGTAAATTTAACAATGATTTTAATGTGTCTGTGTTCTGACTATGGCTTGTTTCATAAAGCAAGGAATTTTCCACTTTTTGTTTTTGTGAGGTATATGCTCACATATGTGTACAAGTACCCGCATCCCTGCATGTGCACACTTGTGAGACCAGATTTTGAATTGTTGAATGCTTTCAATTTCAGATTTTCAGACTAGGCATGCTTAAACCTGTATGTGACAGTGATGTTTTGGAAAATAGCTTCAAATGGCAACAAGATGAGTAAAAATTTTTGTTGGCCCTTTATTTAATTTTTGAAGATCTATGTTTAATATGTATGACTGCTTGCATGCATGTATGTATATGCACCACATGCCCACCTGGTGTCCATGGAGACCAGAAGAGGGCACTGGATCCTCTGGAACTGGAGTTATAGATAGCTGTGAGCCATCTTGTGGGTGTTGGGAACTAAATCTAGGTCCTCCACAAGAGCAACAAATGCTCTTAACTGCTGAGTCATCCCTCCAGCCCAATAGTTTTGTTTTAAAATATAAAAACAACATGGACAATTTTGAACAAAATCTTGACAAAATTTTCCTTGGAAAAAGAATATGTGGTATTTATACACAATGGAATTTTTCAGTCATAAAGGAAAATAGCATCATGTTACTTGCAGGAAAATAGATGGACAGGAGATATTTGAGAGAATTAAGTCAGTCTTGGAAAGATGATACTATGTTTTCTCTCATGTGTGGTTCATAGATTTTTACATAGATACATAAAATCATATACATATATATGACTTGAAAGCAGAAGCAAAAATGTCTAGAGGAACCAAAGCAAATTGATTAATGAGAGGGAGGGTGAATAAAAGGCAAGGTAGGAAAGTATGGGGGAACATGTTCAATATGTAATATATATTTGTAATATATAATATCTATATATAATTAATATGATATATTAATAAATATACATGTGTAATATATGTAAAATATATGTAATAAATATATATGTAATATATATTTATGTGACACAGCACCATGTACAATACACAGATACAATGAAAATTTTCAAAAAAAATTTTTTTAATTATATGTTCCTTTTAGTACTAGAGTTCATATTTACTAAGATACAAAATTAAAACTTTTATCCTCAGGGCTGGAGTGATGGCTCAGAGGCTAAGAGCATTTGTTCTTCCAAAGGACAGCAGTTGGATTCCCAGCACACAACAGAGTGGCTCCCAATCATCTGTCCCTTCAGTTCCAGGGCATCCAATGCCTACTCTGACTTCCTTGGACTCCTGTATGCACACAGTGCACATATACACAACCAGGTGCACACAAATACACATTTCCCCACTTTAAAGCATTTTATTCTACTGCTTATTATTCAAAATATCATTTTCAGTGATATCTCATTTTCCATTGGGTAGATATAATTTTTTATGCACAGGACTCTACACATGTTGAGTAAATGCTCTGTCTCTGAGTTCAAACTCCTGCCAAATATACCATAATTTAAGTAACAACTTGGTCTACAGTCTGGCAATGAACCCACTCAATACATTTTTATTAAATTATTGAGATCAATCTTCATTTTTAGTGTCCATTTGCTGAAGATGTAGTTCACTTGGTAAAGGGTTTGCCTAGCATGCACAAAGCCCTGGTTTTAAATACAGATTTGGTGGTCTAGATCTGTAATCCCAGCACTCTGGTGGTAGAAACAGGAGGATCAGAAGTTTAAGATCTTCTTCAGCTACATAGCGAGTAGGAGGCCAGTCTGAGATACATGAGACCTTGTCTCAGACAGACGGATGGATGGATGGATGGATGGATGGATGGATGGATGGATGGATGGATGATGCATGCAGGCCACTCCCATTCACTTATGTATTGTCTACAGTTACTTTGAAACTACACCAGTTGTGACTGAGATAGTATGGCCCTCACATGTAAAATAGTTACTTATGGGCCTTTAAGAAAAGTTTTTCCAAACTTGCTCTCAATGATCAAAAATGAAAAAGCCAATTATAGCCAGGCATGGTGGTTTACAACTTTAATTTCAGCACTTGGGAGGCAGAGGCAGGCAGATCTCTGTGAGTTCAAGGCCAGCCTGGTCTACAGAGTGAGATCCAGGACAGCCAGAGCTACATAATGAGATCCTGTCTCAAAAAAGAAAAGAAGTCAACTATTTAATGGAAATAGAGAAGCAACAGAGCTGGCAAAAAGGCCTAGCAGATAAAAGTTCATGCTGTGCAAACCTGATGGCCTGAGTTTGATCCCTGGACCTAACAGTAGAAGGTACGGACCAATTCCCAGACCCCCAATCTTCATATGTTCACTGTGCTAAGTGCACATCCACACTCACACACATAAATCATACTCACCCATATGCATGCATATACACACACATGCACACAAATAATAAATACATGAATTTCTTTAAAAAGCAACACAATGGTACTCTTTAAACAAACTGGCATATTAGTTGTCATTACGCTATAGTCTGAAGTATAGCAAATTCTATACTGCTTTTTCTGCACTTAGAAATGGATTCAGATGGACTCTAAGTATAATTTTAAGATGAAAGAATTTAGATTTCGGTACAAATTCATTACCTCACACCCCTAGGATATGAACCATTAGCAACACTATTCATCATGTTGAATACAAAATGTGCACCACACAATTGCTGGCCTGAGGCTTCAGCCAGTATTATGGGGAATCTGACATTCTCCTTTAATCACATCTAGAAAGGAAAACTCCATATGCAGCTCAAACATTAGAGTTGCATTGAAGGCAAATATTTAACTGCCACATCTGAGTCACTATAGAGTCAGAATCCTATCAAATTCCATGAAAACGACTTTTTAAAAATATTACTTTTAAATGCTAAATCCTGCTGCTAGCGATGGTGACTCACACCTATAATCCCAGTACTGAGAAGGCAGAAAGATAGCAAATTCAAGGTTATCCTGTACTATACAGGATACTCTGTCTCAAACAAACAAACAAAAAAACAGAAAATGGGGCTGGTGAGAGGGCTCAGTGGGTGAAAAGCATTTGTTGCTCCAGCCTGATGGCCTGAGTTTCATCTCTGGAACCACAGTGGAAGGAGAAAACCAAGTCCTGAAAGTTGTTCCCTGACATTCAGCTGCTCACCAGGTTAGGTACACACCCACACTCACACATATGCATAATAAACCCAGTATAATTTTCTAAAAAAGAAAAAACCTTAGCGCCTTTCCCCTGTTTGTTGAGCTGGGTGATATTTACACAAATGTATTTACTTAGAAAAAAAAAAACTTTAGGGGCTGGAGAGATGACTCAGAGGTTAAGAGCAGTGGCTGTTCTTCCAAAGGTCCTGAGTTCAATTCCCAGCAACCACATGATGGCTCACAACCATCTGTAATGAGATCTGGTGCCCTCTTCTGACCTGTAAGAATACATGCAGGCAGAACACTGTATGCATAATAAATAAATAAATAAATCTTTAAAAAAGAAAAAAAAACTTAGAGGGGCTGGGGAGTTGCCTCAGTAGTTAAGACTGCTTGTTGCTCTTGCAGAGGACCTGGGTTTGATTTCTACCACCCACATGGCGGCTCACAACTGTCTGTAACTCCAGCACAGGAGACCTAAGGCCCTCTTCTGACCTCCAAGGGCACTAGGCACACATATGATGCATATACATAAGTGCAGACAAAACACTCATACACATAAAATAATTAAATAATCTGTTTTAAAAAACCATAGAAACATTGCACTCATTTTAAAAAGCCAGTCATAGCCGGGCGGTGGTGGCGCACGCCTTTAATCCCAGCACTCGGGAGGCAGAGCCAGGCGGATCTCTGTGAGTTCGAGGCCAGCCTGGTCTCCAAAGCGAATTCCAGGAAAGGCGCAAAGCTACACAGAGAAACCCTGTCTCGAAAAAAACCAAAAAAAAAAAAAAAGCCAGTCATGGTCAAGCAAAACAGCTCAGCAGGTAAAGTTACCTGTTGCCAAGCCTGACAAGAAGAGTGCAGTCCCCAGGAGCCACACGATGGAAGTAGTGAATCAACTCCCCCAAGTTGTCCTCCAATTTCCACATGTATACACACACTAAACAAGAATGTAGCTTTTAAAGTAATAAGAGAAAGCACTTCATTTAAAAAGGAGGCTGAAGAAGTTAGGCGGGGGTGGCGCACGCCTTTAATCTCAGCACTTGGGAGGCAGAGGCAGGCGGATCTCTGTGAGTTCAAGGCCAGCCTGGTCTACAGAGTGAGTTCCAGGATAGCCAGGGCTGTTACACAAAGAAACCCTGTTGGGGGGGGGGGGGGGGCTGGAGAAATGGTTCAGTGGTTCAAGGCACTTCTTGCTCTTCCAGAGGACCCAAGTTCAAGTCTCAGCATCCATACCAAGCAACTCACACTTTCTATAACTGCAGCCCCAGGAGAGCCAACACCCTTTGAGGGCTTCCACACATACATAGTATTCATTCACACAGACATACACATAAATACATATGACAAAATAAATCTTAATAAAATTAAAACAAGCCAGTTATAAAGATCACATATTATATGGTTTCTTTAATTTTTACAGAAAATTAAGTAATGAACATGTTCTAAAATTGACTATGCTGATGAATGCATTTATCTATGACTACACAAAAAACGAGTTATATGCATTATCTTGCAAGTTCTGAGTATTTTTAAATCATGATTTTGTTAGCTGTCTTAATTTCTGTTGTTGTGATAAGACACCATGACCAAGGCAACTTAGAGAAGGAAGTGTTTATTTATGGCTCACGGTTCCAAAGGGTTAGCCATGACCATGATGGCAGGGAGCAAGGCAAGAGGCATGGCACAGAGACAGAGACAGAACCATGAGGCAGAGAGAGAGAGAGAGAGAGAGAGAGAGAGAGAGAGAGAGAGAGAGAGAGAGAGAGAGCGAGCTAATTAGGAATGGCATGGGCCTTTGAAGTCTCAAAGCCCACCCCAGTGACATATCTCCTAATCCTTCCCAAACAACTCCACCAACTGGGAGCCAAGTATTTAAATATATGAACCTATGAGGGCCATTCTCATGCAAACCACCATGCTGGCCTCAAATTCACAACCCCCCTGTCTTAACCACCTAAGGACTGAGAATACAGGCATATGCCATCATACCATGCTTGAATTGTATAAATAAGTGAACTGCATGGTATTTAAATTATATATCAATAAAACTGTGGTTTTTTTTAAGCAGCCAGAAGAGGTAAGGTGTATGACTCAGTAGAGCACTTACCTAGCATGGAAGGGGTGTAAGGCTCTGAGTTTGACCCCAGCACTGAAAAAAAGGAACAAACTAACAAAGTTCAGGGTAAAACACCAGAAGAAAAAGAAAATAAATTACAATTGGACCAATTCAATAACACAAGCAAGGAGCCAAAAGAATACTGTGGTATCATGAGATTTTAACTTCATAATACATGTAGAAAAATCAATTTTCAAGAACCAGATCCAGAAAAAGACCTTTTAAAAGAGTTTCCCCCAAAAGATTTTAACCTCGCCAGGCGGTGGTGGCGCACACCTTTAATACCAGCACTTGAGAGGCAGAGGAAGGCGGATCTTTGTGAGTTCGAGGCCAGCCGGGTCTACAGAGCGAGATCCAGGAAAGTCGCAAAGCTACACAGAGAAACCCTGTCTCGAAAAACCAAAAAAAAAAAAAAAAAAAAAAAAAAAAAAAAAAAAAAAAAAAAAAAAAAAAAAAAAGAAAGCAGGCTGAGCAAGCTAATATGGAGGATTCCTCCATGGTCTCTTCATCAGCTCCTGCCTCCAGATTCTTGCCCTGTTTGAGTTCCTATCCTGACTTCCTCCAATGATGAGCCATAATATGGAATAAACCCTTTGCTCTACAAGTTGCTTTTTGGTCATGATATTTCGTTGCAGCAACAGAAACTCTAAATAAAACACAAGATAAGAATAATACCTGATTTCTGTGTATGTGAAAGCTAGAGAAGAGTGGCAGTTTGAATGGGAATGACCCCCATGGCTCATATATTTGAATGCTTGGTCCCAGTTGTTGGGACTGTTTAGGAAAGATTAGAAGGTGTGGTCTTGTTGGAAGAGGTGTGTCACTGGGGTTCATCCTGCCTCTAGTCTTTCTCCTAAATCATACTATTTGGCACTACTAGATACAATCCCTATAGAGCTGCTTTCAACATACTGTGTTTAAAACGTTTCAGTGATTATCTTACTGAATAAATAAAGTTCAGGCTGGTTGTAGTGGAGCACACCTTAATCCTACTGTTCCCAACACAGAAGCAGGTAGATCTCTGTAAGTTCTAGGATAACCTGTTCCACATAGAGCTCCAGGCCCGCCAAAGCTACATAGTAAGACCCTGTCTCAAAATAAACAAATAACTTTAACTTCAACTTCTAATCAAATAAATAACCTCTACAATCTATTCTCAACCCATGTTTCTCAGTCTTACCAACTACTTTCACCTAAATACCAACTTCAATTAAGTCAGGCTGGTCTGTATGTAAAGTCTCCTAAAAAAACAATTTACATATCTCAAACCTTTGCCTCATAACAAATATTATTTCCTCCTGTCAAATCCCTGAACCAAAGAGCATGGTGGCACACCAGTACTAGGCAGGTAGAAGCAGGAAGATCTCTAAACTCAAAACCAGCCTGATCTACATAGCAAGTTCCAAGCCAGCCAGAGCTTCATAGTGAGACTGTCTCAAAAACAAACCAAAACAAAACAAAATCCCAAATCCAATTCCTCCTCCCAAGGCCCAGCTCAATGCTTACATCTTTTATAATGATTTTACTAATCACTCTGATTTGCAGGGTTTCAGTCTAAAATACAGCAGAGTAGTTACAATGTTTGTTATTATTTTGCTGTCTTTCATAACTGAACTCTTTTTTTAAAATGTGTAGGATGTTCTGTCTACATTGTTTGTCTATGTAGCACATGTGTGCAGTGCCCTGCAGAGGCCAGAAGAGGGCATATGAGCCCTTGAAACTGGTTTTGATCCGCTGTCTAATTGAATCCACGCCCCCTGAAAGAGCAGCCACTGCTCTTAGCCACTGAGCCATCTCTCTATCCTCATAATTCAATTCTTGAGTTGTTACCTTCATGTGATTTAATTCCCTTGCTACATTTTTACATTATTGAACTACAGAAAGCTAAATTTTTAGCCTAGGGGTTGGAGAGATGGCTCAGTGGTTAAGACCACTTGTTGCTCTTGCAGAGGGCACAGGTTCAATTCCCAGTACCCACAAGGCAGCTCACAACTGTGTATTAACCCTAGTTCCAGGGGATCCAACACACTCTTCTGAACACTATGGGCACCAAGCCTACAGGCAGAACACAGACATACATGTGAGCAAAACATTCATACACATAAAATAAGTAAATATTTAATGAAAATAAATTCATTCCTACCTAGTACAAGGCAAAAAACAGGATGCAGCATGAACTTTAATAAATAAAATCAATGCATGAAGCCGGGCGGTGGTGGCGCACGCCTTTAATCCCAGCACTCGGGAGGCAGAGCCAGGCGGATCTCTGTGAGTTCGAGGCCAGCCTGGTCTCCAAAGCGAGTTCCAGGAAAGGCGCAAAGCTACACAGAGAAACTCTGTCTCGAAAAACCAAAAAAAAAAAAAAAAAAAAAAAAAAAAAAAAAAAAAAAAAAAATCAATGCATGAATTCCATTCCTAAAGCCAAGAGGAATTCAGTTAGGTATGTGCCTTACATGGTCTATAAACTGTCCTTGAAAATCCTCTAGATGGCTAGTAGATTGACTTCTTGGCATTACTGATATTTTTAATAGGAATAATTATGCTATTTAATCAAAAATCAGTCCATTTGCAACTTGTGAAATGTTATGTTCTCCTTCTTGTGGGTTCTGATGTAGTTTTTGCAATGTCAAGAAAATTCAGAGTAAGTCACCCAAAGGACTCTGCTGACATGGTTTAAAAGGGAAAATGGCAATCACCGAGCTCCATCAACAAAACTCTATCTGTACCATTATTTCGTTAAAAGAAGATATATAGCAAATACCACAGATTGGTTAATCTGTGAGAAAGCGCAGCAAAGATCTCTGCTGTGTAATTCTTTCTACTTTCTGTGTTCTTGGTACATCTTAAAATAAGTATGGAACATACGTTAGGGGGCATAGCAATAAACAGAAAAATAGTATTTGACTAAAGCTCAATGCTGTTCAGTGTTTACTTACCAGAGCATCATCTTGCAATGAAGCAAAAAAGAAGCCATAGAGCAAATTAATTTGCTTCTTATGATCAATAAAGTCAAACATCGCAACCAACCAACGATAAAAAAGTACCTGTTGACAGAGAAAATACTGCCTTTAGAGAACATAACTAATTGTTGCAGAAGAGCTTTAATCTCTCCTCAGTGCTACTTTAAAAGCTTCTAGCACCAAGTAAGATAATAGATTTTTATTTCTTAGTAAAAGTTTCTGTTTGAACAGGGTCCTTTTATCAAGCTATATTGTTCTGAAACCACAGGTTATGCAACAAAAGGCCACTGCCATTACTCCAGAAGTGGCTCTTCTTTGCTAGCCCTTAAGTGGGTTCTGAAGGACTTATCATCAAAGTATCTAAAAAAAGATTACCTTGGTATTACTAGAACACTTGCCAACACAGAGCCAGGATACCGCCTTAACCACAGAATCTTCTGATATGAGAGTTTCTGGAATCATGCACTTTAATATCCGTGTGTTTATAGCATTCCCTGGAAAGCAGACCAACTCTAAATTAAACTGAATTTCAGTGTCTCAATTGTTCCTTTACTATGGTCATAACTCTCTAAAACAAACTAAAAAGCAAATTATTTTGTGTGTGTACATGTCCATGTGAGTGTAGATATGTGTACATGAAATATGTATCTGTGTAGAGGCCAAAGTTGGATGTTAAGTGTCTTCCTGAATTGTTCTCCACCTTACTTTTTAAAAATTATTTTTGTTATTATTTTATATGTATGGGTATTTTCCCTGCATATATGCCTGTGTACCACGTGCATGCAGGTTCTACTGAGGTCAGAATAGGGCACTGGATACCCTGGAACTGGAGTTAGAAACAGTTGTGAGCTGCCACTGAGTGCTAGGAATCAAACCTGGGTCCTCTGGAAGAGTAGCCTTAACCACTGACCCATCTCTCTAGCCCCATCTACCTTACTTTTATTTATTTTATGTGCATTGGTGTTTTGCCTGCATGTATGTCTGTGTGAGGATGCCAGATCCCCTAGAACTGGAGTTACAGACAGTTGCGAACTGTCATGTGGGTACTGGGAATTAAACCCAGGTCCTTTGGAAGAGCGGCCAGGGCTCTTAACCACTGAGCCATCATCACTCCAGCACCACTTACTTTTTGAGACACAGTCTGTCAATGAACCGGAAGCTCACAGATTCAGCTAGATTAATCCTATGGATCCTGTGGTCTCCATCTCCTCAGTGCTGGGATTACAGGTACATGCCTCTGTCCCTGGCTTGCTGCTTTCTTTCTTTCTTTCTATCTATGCATGGGTATTTTGTTTGCATAAAACATGTGTATCTGAGGCAGAAGAACGTGCTAGATCCCTAGCACTAGAGTTACAGAAGGCTGTGAGGTGCCATGTAGGTACTAGGAATTGAACCCAGGTCCTCTGGAATGCAGCTAGTGCTCTTAACCACTGAGCCATCTGTCTAGGCCCTTGCCCTTGGCTTTTAAGTGAGTAATGGAAATTCAAACTCAGGTTCTCATTCTTGCATGGCAAGTACTTTGCCAACTGAGCCATCTCCCCAGCTCCTAAATCAAATTATTTGACCCAAGTACATCTATTATAAAAAGGAAGTTAAGGGACTGGGTCTGGTGGCACATGCCATTAATCCCAGCACTTAGAGGAGGCAGAGGCAGGTGATTTCTGTGAGTTCAAGGCCAGTCTGGTGTATAGAGCTGGTTTCCAGACAGCTAAAGATACACAGAGAAACTCTGCCTCAAAAAAAATTTTTTTCGGACTGGGGAGATGGCAGAGGGTAAGAGCACTGGTTGCTCTTCCAGAGGACCCGGGTTCAATTCCCAGCACCCACATGACAGCTCACAACTGTCTGTGGCTCCAGTTCCAGGGAGTCTGGCACCCTCACACAGACATATACCAATGCACATAAAATAAAGAAATATTTAAAAAAAATTTTTTCTTAAAGGGCTGGGCATGGTGACTCATGCCACTATTCCCAGAACTTGGGAGGCAGAGGCAGGTAGATCTCTAAGTGTGGAGGTCAGAGGATAACTGGTGGGAGAGTGGGAACTGGCTCTCTCCTTCTACTGTGTGGGTTCCAGGGACTGAACTCAAGTCCTCAGGCTTGCAGGCAGGTCTGAGGAGTCAGCTTGTTAGCCCATACACATTAAAATGAAGATAAGCTATCCTGAATGTCTAAACAAGGATGAGAAAAAGGTACAAGCAAAAAGAACACTGATCAGGTGGTATTTCTCAGCCTCTCTCCTACCTCTAACCCTAACCAATGAACTTAGGACAGGAAACGTAAAAGAGAAAAGCTTCTTGACTGCCAGGATCAGAGATACTGGAATGAAGACAGTATAAATAGGAACTTGTCAGATACATACATGCAAGCAAAAACACTCCTACACATAAAACAAAATAAATAAATAAATCTTTAAAAAAAAAAGTCTGAGTGTGGTGGTACATATCTGTATTCCCAGGAGGATCAAAGCCAATTCAAGACCAGCCTAGTCTACTTAGCAAATTCCAAGTCAACTTCAACTATCTTACTGTGTCTCTGCGTGTGTATGTGTTTCTTATGTTTTTCCTTTGGGTTTCTCTGCCTGTATGTTTTGTTCTATTCTGGCTTGTTTATTTGTCTGTTTGTTTTCTAAAGAGAGTGAGAAAGAAGGCGTGGAGTGGGATGGGTGGGGAGGTGGGGATGAAAGATGAAGGAGGGGAAATCATGGTCAGAATATACTGTATAAAGATTATTTTCAATAAAAAAAGACACAGTACATTTCCTTTGGAAAGAAAAAGACAAAACAAATAAAAAACAAAAAAAAACTGCCTAAAAGGCAAAACTACTAGGAAACTGATGACAAACGTATCAGGTCAACATACCAAACTTGCCACTGAGTGCCACATTTAATAAAATATCAATTGCTTCTGGAGCTAAGCCATTTTTCCAAGCCACATTTTCCACAGTTTTCAAGTGTTTTTCCAAGACCTTATCTTTATTCAGTGAAGCTTTCTTGGGACCTGGAAAAAGAAACAATATTAAACAATAAGACCATAGAAATTCTTTCAGTGCTCATCCTCAACAATTACAACCCAGGGACTTATGAAAGGAATAGATTTATGCAATAAATGTCTCCCTTTTATAAAACAAAAAAATAAAACAAACAAAACACCTTCAGAGCCTTTATTACTCAATACTTAGCAACAATAGAATCTTCAGTGAAGAAAACTTCCATCATGCCCTGACAAGTATATGTACACATATATAAAACATTGAACTTAAATTAAAACCTCTTTCAATATTAGGACAATTCCCAAACTCTAAAGTGCAATGAATTACCTAGAAACCTTTGTGTATATACATGAGTGTATGTGTGCACCTATTCCTGAGCCATGTATAAGTATGTGTTTGGAGGACAGAGGTTGATGCTAGGGATCTTCCTCTATCACTCACCACTTTTTTTTTGAGACAAAGCTGCTCACTGAACTTGGAGCTCACCAACTTGGCTAGACTATCTGACCAGTAAGCTACAAGGAGTCTCCTATCTCTGCCATCCCAGTGCTGGCATTACAAGCACATACACCATGCCATGATTTTTACATGCATACTGGTAATTTGAACTCAGGTCCTTTTACTTGCAAAGCAAGTACTTCTTCAACTGGGCCATCTCCTCAGCCTACCTAGAAGCCATTAAAGTCACAGTGCCAGGTTACATCCCATACCAACAAAATTCGATGTCTAAGATTAGATGAGAAGTATTAGTATATTTTAAAAGATTCTGAGGCAATCACAGTGTCTGCCAATCACTATGCCGGGAAGATGTTTTGTCTACAGTATATTATATAATATATATATATATATATATATATATATATATATATATATATATATATAGTCATATGGTAAATTCTCAATAAATGATAAATGACTATTAGATAAAAATTTGAATAAACCAAAACATCTTCCCTTTAAAAACATCTTAAGGCTGGACATGGTGGTGCACACCTTTAATCCCAGCACTTAGAAGAGGCCGGTGGATCTCTGTGAGTCTAAGGCCAGCCTGGTCTACAAAGTGAGTTCCAGGACAGCCAGCATAATACAGTGAGACCCTATCTCAAAAAAAGTCTTAAGAAAAAAGAAAAGAATTATTTTTGGACAGGTTCCCACTATATAGCCCAATCTAGCCTTAAATTTAAGTTCGTCTTACCTCAGCCTTACCCCCAGTGTTGGGATTACAGGTGTGTCTGCCACTACATCCAGCAATTAAGACTAAAATATTTTTAGAGAGAAATAGGACTTTCGGGGCTTGGGCTGAAGTTGTAGCTCAGATTTGAGAGTGCTGGGTTCTATCGCCAGCTCCACATAAACCAGGCATAGTAATGCATACCCGTAATCTCAGCAATCAAGAGTTAGGGACAGCTGGGCAGTGGTGGCACATGCCTTTAATCCCAGCACTCGGGAGGCAGAGGCAGGCGGATCTCTGTGAGTTCAAGGCCAGCCTGGTCTACAGAGCGAGTTCCAGGAAAGGTGCAAAGCTACACAGAGGAAACCCTGTCTCAAAAAACCAAAGAGTTAGAGACAGTCAGACTGGGAGTTCAAGGTTACTCTCAGCTACATACATAGTAAGTTCAAGGCCAGCCTGGCTGGGATACATAGCGTACCAGTCTCAATAAAAAAACTAAACAAAAAAAAAAAAAAACAAAACCCTGCACTTTCATAAGGAAACCAATCTGCCTTTACCTTTCTGAAAGAATCCTACTGCAATTTGCAGATCATCTTCAGCTTGATCATCAGTGTGTTCAGAATCTTCCACGGAATTGCTTTCTTTCAAGACACTCTTGGAAGTGCCTGATTTGTCTTTTACCTTCCAGGCTAAGAGATTGGTCTGAAAACTATTACTACCTTGAGAAATTCTGTTTCGTAGCTGGGAGCTTCTAGTATTCCTTTGAGTTGCCATCACTGTATACATGTTCTAGACAGAAACAAGTACCAAGTTACTATTAATCAGCCAGAGACAATGACCATATTTGCCTGAATTCCCACATGCAACTAGTATTCAATGACAAAGAACCTAGGAGATAGAGCTCATAGGCTTTTTTAGAAAGCCCTTGACCTGAACAGAAATAGATTAATAACTTGCCAATGTAATATATATCAGCTAAACTGGCCCTTTTAAAATGGCTACATTTTGTAAGTACAAAACCATCCCATCTCATAATTGATATCTTTTTCTATTCCTATTTTATCTACCCCTCCTTGATTTTGCTTTCAATCTTTACACTCTCTTTTTTGTTGGTACTATGTTAAAACTGCACAGTTAAAAATGCTAACTAGTGCCCAGGGTAGTAACATTATTCATCTATTAATTCACACATTCAATAACTAATTACTGTGTATCATCTTTATGCCAGACATAAGTCTAGTTACTAGGGCTGTAAAAATAAAACACCATGGTACCAGAATTCATGAACCCTACACTGGGGGACGAGGGTTATAAGCCAATGAATCAGTAAGTCACTAGTGCAGTGAAGTGACAGAAACGGGGTGGAGTAAGAATCTAATTTTGAGTAGGTATTCAGAGAAAGCCTCATGAATGAGAATGCCCCCCATAGGCCCATATATTTGAATACTTGATCCCCAGTTGATGGAACTGTTTGGGAAGGATTAGGAGGTGTGGCCTTGGAGGAAGATATATCACTGGGGGTGGACTTTGAGGTTTCAAAACTCCACACCATTACCACGTAGCTGTCTGCTTTGTGCCTGTGGATAGGATATAAGCTCTCAGCTACTCAGCTACTGCTCCAGTGCCATGTCTGCCTGCCACAATGATGGTCATGGATTCTACTACCCTCTGGAATAGTAAGTCTCAAATTACATGCTTTCTTTTATAAGTTGCCTTGGTCATGGTGTCTCTTCACCAAGAAAGAAAAGTAATTAAGACATCCCTCTAAAGTGACCTTTAAGGTAAGATCTAAGTGCCAAAAAGGAATGTACCATTTGAAGGTGTGGTGGAAGAGTATTTTATGAGAAGAAAAAAGGAAAGCACCCAAGAAGAAAGAACTTTGTGTATTAAAGAAAACACATCAACACCAGTGTGAACAGTGTGGAAAGAAAAAGGTAAAGTGAGAGAAGTCAGGATGGTAACAAAGGAGATCATACTGGGTCTTGTAGACAAAGAGTAAAGACTCTGACTTTTCAGTATCAAGGGAAACTACAGGAGAAAGAAAACATAAGACCATTTTTTTTCTGTAGGTAGAAACTAGAGTTCATGAGTGTTGAGAAAACACTTACCAGGCTTTGCCAAAGAAAGCTGATGACTGGCCTGCAGAAGGCCTAAGTTGTGTAAAAAAGACTCATGTGTCCTATGAGATGCTCGATTCAGCAGCATATATACTTGGGTAGACTGTTAAAAAGAAAAACCAACAGCAACCAAGAATTAGACACAGGTATGAGGGAAACCAAGAATGACTACTAAGGAACCAAGACTGGCTTCTAAGTTTTTATCTTCAAGTGGGAAAATCTATGGGAACAGATAGAATGACATTCAATCTCTTTCCCCTAGAAAAGATGAGACCAGAGCAAGAGAGCCTGTAAGTTCAAGTCTAAGGGAGGGGAGATCCAGAGAGCGTCCTACATTATGACCCCATTGGGAAAACTGTTGCAGCGCCTCTTGTGGTTCAAGTCACAGCCCGCCCGCCCCCCCACCCCCACCCCCGCGCCGCACCTAACAGCAAAATTGGCAAACAACTCAACCGACTAGGCCGATTCCTGGGACCACAAAGGAAAATCTGATCCCAGCTACCCATTTTATGGTAAGTCTCACCCTCTCGGGCTGCGGTATTCCAGAAGATCTCTGTGCCTCCACCCCAAGTCCAGCCGCGCAACCCCGCACCTTGAGAACCTCTGCGACCACTCGGCCTCCAGAGCCCAAAAGCCGCCTCTGAGATTCAAAGGCGCCGGCCCCGCCCCGCGCATGCGCTTCGGAGGAGTTCGCGACTGCGGAGGAGCGAGTTCAACCGAAAACTAATTGGCTTGAGTGCGGCTCTAAGGCGGGAGGTGGCGCGCGCGCGCGCGCGAGCGGAAAATGACGCGGCTCGATGACGCAGGGCGGCTGGCCCCGCCCACGGAGGCCTGGGGCGCGCCCCAGCCGGCAGTTGCTTTTGAAGTCAGTTGAATGATTGGCTGCGTTCTCCGTGTTCTGAGAAGGTTTGCATCAGTCATTCTGAGTGAAACAGTGCTAAGTGGCTTGGTGTTGAGTTTAAAGCAGTCAAGTGTGGCATTCATTTGGCTCCCACATTGCTCCCAAATGCCAGGGCTTTGAATCTGCAGAAAAAAGTGAAACTGAAAACTTGACAATAAAGGCGGCTTTTCCCCATGCTGTGACTTAAAGGGTCTGTCGCTTTCCAGTGGAGTTTGCGGGAGGGCGGGGGTTGGGGGGGAGAGAATGAACGGTAAGAGGAAACCACACGATCTGCCTGCTTTTGACAGACGATGGATACAAGTAACTTAAATTTACTAGGAACGGTCGGTCGGTTGGTGGTGGCAGCGGCCCAAGCCTTTAATCCCAGCACTCAGGGGGCAGAGCCATGAGGATCTCTGTGAGTTCGAGGCCAGCCTTGTCTACAGAGCGAGATTCAGGACAGGCCTCAAAACTACACAGAGAAACCCTGTCTCGAAAAACTAAAAACAAACAAACAAAAAAAAGAAAGAGGCCGGGCGGTGGTGGTGCACGCCTTTAATCCCAGCACTTGGGAGGCAGAGCCAGGTGGATCTCTGTGAGTTCGAGGCCAGCCTGGGCTACCAAGCGAGTCCCAGGAAAGGCGCAAAGCTACACAGAGAAACCCTGTCTCGAAAAACGAAAAAAAAAAAAAAAGAAAAAAAGAAAAGAGAGAGAAAAAATTAGGAATAAAAGAGGAAATGTGTAAATGGAATGCCTCAGCAATTTGAGGCCATAAGATTGTTACAAACTTTATGCAAAATTATACAGGAAAAATTTGCTATCTCAGGAAAGCATAAATAATCAAGGATTAAGTTGAAGTATTTAAGATAGACATCGAACCCATCTATGACCAGCCGGAGTTCATGAGGGACTGGGCTCTGTGGAACCATGTCTGCAGGATTGCCATGATGGAGTTTCAGTGAGGGTCCTGTATTGATGGCGTACCAGAAGCCAGAGGCCTTGAACCAGACCAAAAATTCATTGCATTGAACATTTGCCAGTAATGCTGATTGGACAAAAGGGTATATACTGCGTGATACACTGCAGCTCCCAATGCCACTAAGATGAAATGAAGAGGTGTTGGAAAGGTGCGAAAGATGGAGGAGCAAAGTGGGTTTTTGTTTGTTTGTTTGTTTTGTTTTTAATTAATATTTTTTACATTTTCGTTGGGGGACGCTACAGGGATGAGGGGCATATATGGAGGGACTGGGAAATGAGCGGGATCACAGTGCATGATATAAATTTCCCAAAGAATAAATAAAAAAATTATGTTAAAAGAAAAAGGAAACTGGGCGGTGGTGGCGTATGCCTTTAATCCCAGCACTGGGGAGGCAGAGCCAGGCGGATCTCTGAGTTCGAGGCCAGCCTGGGCTACAGAGCGAGATCCAGGAAAGGTGCAAAGCTACACAGAGAAACCCTATCTTGAAAAACCAAAAAAAAAAAAAAGAGAGAGAGAGAGAGAGAAAGAAAAAGAAAGAAAGAAAAGAAAAAAGAAAAAAAGGAAAGGGAAAAAACTAGGAATAAAAGAAGAAATGTATAAATGTAATGCCTGTCAGCGACTTGAGGCCATAAGATTATTACGAACTTTATGCAAAATTATACAGGAAAAATTTGCCATCTTAGGCAAGCATAAATAATTGAGGATTAAGTTGAAGTATTTGAGATAGACTACAGTAGAAACGACTACCACATCTAACATGGTTTTCAGAGTAGTTTGACAAACTCATTTACACATGCATAAAAATTGAGACTGTCCATTTTTTCTGATAACTGCTCTTTAGTAAAATTGAAATTTGTATTGAGCCATTTGTCATCCTTTTAATGATTTAATACACTCAAAGAATTGTAAACTGGACAGGATTGAAGACTTTGCCCTCTTTTCCTGGATGAAATGGTACCCTAAGTGATGAAATAACTTACTTAACATGACAAATTTGTGGCAGTGCAACTTGTCACTTTGTGGACACAGTGTAATAAAAGACACTGCTTCATATTTATTTAATGAACCTTTGGTTTTTTTCTTTTCTTTTCTTTTTTTTTTTTTTTTTTTTTTTGGTTTTTCGAGACAGGGTTTCTCTGTGTAGCTTTGCGCCTTTCCTGGAACTCACTTTGTAGACCAGGCTGGCCTCGAACTCACAGAGATCCGCCTGGCTCTGCCTCCCGAGTGACCACCACCCGTGGTTTTTTCTGAAATAATTTTTCATCTTTTCCTTTGACTCACTCAATAAAGACCTTCCTAACCCTGGATACGATATTGGGATGCTAAGGTGTATTTCTAAATGGTCTTAGCACAAATAAAATATCACCACGCTAAGGCTTTATCCTAAGACTCTAAGGCTTTCGCTCTTACATGGTAACATCAAAAAAGCATGAAGGAACTTAAAAGGATGAGCAAGTTAGCAGCCTCATTTTTATACTGAGACTATTATACCCTTCTCTTCTTCCTCATCTAGACCTTTGTTTGTTTGTTTGTTTGTTTGTTTGTTTGTTTGTTAAGAGCCTGGAGCTAGGTGTGGTGGCACATACCTTTAATCCAGCACTCTGAAGGAAGAAGCAGATGGATCTTTCTGAGTTCCAGGCCAGCCAGGGCTACGTAGTAAGACCTTGTTTCAGAGATGGGGAGAGAGAGAGCAGGTTCCTGGGCTGGGTATAGTGAGTGACACAGGCCTGGCTGCCCAGTATTTGTGAACTAAAGAAAGAATCTCTACTTTGAGGCCAGTTCAGGCTACACAGTGAGACCTTGCCTTAAAACAAACAAATACCACCACCAACAAACTCAAGAAATTCACACAGACGGAAGAATCTGAGTCCCTTGATATAGGAACTTCTCTTTCCAGATTTTCAGTCCATAATCCACACTATGTCCTCCAAATTTCAAAAACCTTTATTTTGAAAGAACGAGCAAAAGAAGACAGTTATCAATTACCAAGAACAATGACACTGAAGAAAATACGGTAAGTACTCTCCCCCACACAACCCCCACCCCCCTTCCCATCCCTGGCACAATATTAAAACCATCAAAGCACATTTAACAAAGAGAAACAGCAGTATGTAACTACGAAAGCTAACTTCCATACTGCTCAATCCACCTAACCCATGTCAAACGTCCTTCCCCTAGTCAAACTCGACCCACTGGAATGCTGAAGAGGTGTACAACAGACATTTCTGGGTGTAGTTTGGACTTTGTTAACATTAGCAAAGTTCAGTGACAAATCAATAGGAGTAGAGGACTCATCTGATGGATAAACACTGGATACAGCTTCTCTATTCAGTGTCAGGTTTCAGAAAACCGCTAGGGCTGGAGATTCGAACTTTTAACAGGGCCAGTGGCTGGTCCCTCAGTGGAAACTGTGGGGAAGCTGTCAGATCCTGGTGGGCTACTGAGAATCGTGAAAGTGAGGCAGCGTTGGTCTTAAAACCAGTTTTGACTGTGGCTAGTCAAAGCTTGCTAATTAAATTTCCAACTGCTAGCCAGAGCTCAGTAGGTTGGGCTCAGACAAAGGCCAGGAGAAACCTCCTACTGCATCGCTTGAAGAACCCTACTATTGGCTGCATATGTCCCTTGTTTGAATTGAACTTGATGTTGAGTGTTTCAAACTTGAAAGTTGAACTAGAGGCTGATTACATTGAAGAAACTCTTCTCATAAAATGGTGAGCTGTTTACAGCTTAATGCAGAGAGGGATTTCCATCCCACATGGAACTAGGTTCTTTGTTTTCTACCAGAATAGGATTCTCTTGACAGGAGGGTTCCTTTATTCTACCTTTGCTGGCATCAATTTATAAAGGGAAGGATACCTGTGCAGGATTAGTTCAAGATCAGAGCCTCCCCTACACATGTGTGTATACTCACACACATGGCAGTTAAATACATTCCCCCACACATAATCTCACAGTCACATGCTTGCTGGAGTCCACCTCACAAATACACCTCAATAGTAGCCATATACATGAACATGCAGCAAGATGTGAGCATTGCTCCAGAGTGATTAAAGGTGGTGCACGAATGTCAATGTGGGGAGGTCATTTTAGGGTATAGATGTACACAAGCCAACTAACTTGCAGTTTGTATTTTTCTCTTTTCCCCCAAGATAAATAAATCAAATGAAAAACACACACTGATATCTTCTTGGGTGTCAAAGAGGCAACTGCCTAGAAGGTCCTAATTTTGCACTTTCAATTTCTTATGACACCTTCACTTTGCCCTGGGGGGCCTTCTCATATAAGGAGGGTTGCTCCTCTGCACTCTCAGGCAAGGCCTTCTTCTCAGAAGACCGGTCTTCAGGCTTGCGGGCAATCAACAGGCGGCAGGTAAGCAGGATACCAAACACCAGAGCATGCGCATAACGTTTGAGAGGATCACCGACCAGCTGGTGGAAGAAAAGCACAGCCAACACCAGCAGGAGCAGGAAGAAGTTGGCCACATCTTTGGGACGCCCAGGTACCAGGGTCATGACGATGCCACAGGCCACTTCAAGAGCGCCAATGCTTTTTCGAAGGAGAATGGAATTGATGCCCATTTTCTTCAGCAGAGGAAGGGCTCGGACATAGCTCTTGTAAGCACGTTTCTAGAGTGGGGATATCATAAGGAAACCAATGCATTAATCACAATTTTAACATCAGAATGAAGAAAACACCAGCAAGGGTCTTTTTCCCCCTACCATCACCTTTTCACACCAACCGAAAGTATTCCATTTTTCACCCTGTCCTTTAAATAAAACCTTGTGAGTAGGGTAAGAAAAGAGGAGACAATCTGTTTGGAATCTCTGTGATTAAAAATGTAAAAAGTGTGGGGCTGGAGAGATGGCTCAGCAGTTAAGAGCACTGGCTGTGTTAGGCATGGTGGCACATACCTTTAGTCTCAGCACTTGATGGGGGCAATGGCAGGCTGATCTCTGAGTTCAAAGCCAGCCTGGTCCATATATTGAGTTCCAGGACAACCAGAACTGCATAGTTTAGAGACCGTGGCTCCAAACAACCACAACAACTAAAGAGCACTGGGTACTCTTGCAGGGGACCAGGGTTGGATTCCCAGCACCTACATGGTGGCCCATAACCTTTTCTAACTCCAGTTCCATGGGGACCTGTGTCTTCTGTAGCACTGCACAGATGTGGTGCACAGACACACATACAGAAGAAAAACACTCATACACATAAAAAAAAGTAGATGGATCCATCAAACCACAAAAAAGGCCCTCAGCTGACCCAAACCTGCTAGCACCTCGACGTTGGATTTAGCTTCCTGAACTGTAAAAAAAATAAACGCCTGTTGTTCACAAATTGCCAATTTGTGACATTTTGTTATGACAATCTGAATGGACTCAGACAGACATCAAGAGGAATAATGCAGCAAATCTGGTCTCCGACTCCTTTTTAAAGTTGCTGTCTGTAAATCACTAAGAAACTAGAAGAAATTCATCAAACCCATAAAACTGGTCCACACTTTCTAGTACTTGCTTTGTCCAAACCCAAATGCAAGACAATGCATGGGAAAGCCTCACAAATTTGGACTTCCTTCATTGGAATGTATTACCATACATTTTTAAAATGTTTTTAAAATTTTTTTTTGAAAAGCAGAGTTAAAGTCTACATTTTAGACTCTACCAAAAATGTTGATCAAATTAAAAATACAATGGGGCTACA